CATCCCGTGAATGTGGAGGGCTAATTCCCGCCGTGAATAATGTTATCAAAAATAATAATGAAATTGGAACATTAGTGGGACGAACACCCGGAAGCTAATTATTAACAAATGTTGAACATAGCTAATGGTAAAGTAAAGCAAACTAGACTAGATAAAAAAATAATGTAAGATACTGATTTTACCAAGCTGTTAGTTGGTGAAAGCTGGTGATTGGATTTTTTTTAATGTAGCGACAGTATATTTCATAAACGACAAATCGCTACTTACTTAACGGAAAGTGGCTGGTCGAGTATTTGCCTAGTGGCATACTAATAAAATTTTACTAATTTTTTTTTTATTAAAACTTTAATAAAGTTTTACTAACATTAGTTTTAAGATTTGTATTATATGATCCGAGATTTGTATTCTATGATCCTTGTGGTCGAAATAAACGACTTTTATTTTATTAGTAACGCTATTAAAAATAAATATATCGTTTTGTGAGCTGTGAAAACTGCTCTTTGCCACTGCCATGGGCGGAACCCTGCTCCATTCGCATGCGCATGTGACGACTTTTTGGTTTTTGTGTTCATATTAGTGGATTTATAGCTTAGCGTTCTAGTTACGCTGTACGCTGTCTGTGACCGTTGTAACGAAAGCGTGCAGTGTACTTTCGATTTAATATCTTACAAAGATTTCGTTTTAGAGTTAATCCTTATTTCAATCTAAGTTTTTTTTATAAGTTTTTCGCGCCTATCAGTCTTTTTGGTCAATTTATTGGAATATTTTGTATACTAGGTTCTGCATCTGTCTTTCTACTCGCCAACATTGTTTTCGGTTTTTTAGTGTAAAAATTCGTTTTTCTTATTTATTTTTCTCAGTTGTCCCTCACATCTTTTTCGCTGTTAAGAGTTTCTTTTACTGGTATTTTTAGGTGACTACTGCCCCGTTGGTCTAGTGGTTGTAGTAGTGCAACTGCTAAATCATGAGGTCCTGGTTTCGAATCCCGGGTCAGCAAAGAATCAATAATTGAGTTTTTCCGTCAAGAAATTCTCAGTAGATGCCCGGAGTCAGGAAGTTGGCGGTGTCTAACCCCAGCGCCTCGGAACGCACGTAAGCTCTCTCCGGTCGCGTCGGTTTACCGTCTCATCGGATTAAGAGAGTGAGGGAATAGAAAGTGCACCTGTGCTTGCGCATACACTTGGCACTATAATCCTGTCCTGCGCCGATGGCTAGCCTCCGTTGAGGCAGGAGGACATTATTATTATTTTTAGGTATAGTGTCATCACCAAGTATATGTGATACATCAGAGTTTTGCTCTTCTAAGGTATCTTTCTAATGGTGTGAAATACGTATTTAGTATATATATATACATATAAATAAAGTGTGTTACCTAGATTGAAGAGCACTTCCCGCCCTCCCTCAATTGCATGCACTAATCCCGTCACCACTAATCCCAGCATCACTACTCCCTACACCACTACGCTAGGAAAGACTAACTTTGCGGTTACTTGACTTGCGGTCAGCCACCGTAGAGTACATCACCTGAGGATGCCTCGTGTAAAGACGAAACACGTGTCGTATTATCGTCGATGGTGTGTCTTTCCTAGAGTAGTGGCGTTGGGAGTAGTGGTGCTGGGATTAGTGGTGACGGGATTAGTGCACGCAATGAGGGAGGGCGGGAGGTGCTCTTTTAACTAGGTTTAGGTTTAAAGACATTTATTTATTCTCATAAAAACATTATATACACCACTTACATGTAAACATAAATAAAAGTAAATATAAATAACAAAATTCGTTGTCGTACCTATGTTGTTGAAAAATAAACAACATTAAAAACAGCTATCTACGGGAAAAATCTATACCAATAAAAGAAAAGTTAAATTCTGGTATTCACTATCACCTCAATACTAAGACCAGGAACAAACCAGTCCAACGCACTCAGATAGATATGTTTGTGATTATATGATTTGCTAGTCGCTTTTTGAATACATTGAACGAGTCTACATTTTTTATTTCCAAGATTATCTTATTAAAAAGGGGCGCACCTTCGCATGTAATTGTGGTCTGGCCGCACTAAGTAAGACACATCATTTTATTTTATTGCGCGGATGTGTGCGAATTAATTCTTAAATCTTTGATAGTTTGTCTTTTAAGCCGTGTCTTTATTTTTATATACTTTTTCTTCACAATATGCTGATGTGTCATATTGTGAAGTTTTTGTGAGATTTTGACGACAGCTCAACCCAGCGGACAGTTGATGACGACAGCCATTAAGTACATAAGGCGCCCAAGCGCTCAAAATAACTTGAGGTTTATATCAACATCAAAGCACTTGTTTTATCGTTTTTCTCTAAAAGTTAACATGCAGACACTTAATACACAACATCCCATCACTTTTACGTATCAAAATATACTTTAAACCATTGTTTAAACGTTAAAACATAGAGCAACAAGTCTTTAAATCTGCTTCCATAGTAGGAGGCAATTCAGAAACATTCGGTATAGATAAAGGCTCAAAGAATTCGTTACGTTTATTGAAGACTGTAACGCATTGCACGCGTTGGGACCCACTAGCTATGTCCACACTGTACCTTTTTTCGTTCATCAAGTACATGCGTCACAGCGCAGTCCACAGTGCACGTGAGGCATGTCCTTGACACATGCATTATTGACAGTTTAAAGCAAAGCGCGCGCTGCGAACCACGTTTTCCGCGTCTGGTGGATTTCTGTGCCACAAAGCGTTCAAAGATATTACATTGAAGTTTTTCATTCATTTTCAAAAGCTGATTGAAATTTCTTTTCGACATGCGTGTAAAATTTTTAAAAAGAATATCCTTATTTTCTCTAAGTTCACTTACCACATTATTTCGATTATTATAATAGCCGCGTATCGAAAATTTTCGCTCTATTCTTTTTTCCTGGAATTTCTCGATGCTTTGACTAAGTCAGTAGCACATATTTCACCAAGTAAAAAGTTCTCGACGCTCATGTTTTCAATACTGACAGAAACGAACATTCAATTAATGAATGCATCAAACGAAAGTTAAACAGAAAGATGACGACGAAAGTTGAAGATGAAAAGGCACAGTATGGACATAGCTAAAGTCAAAACTGGACATTTCAAACTGGCGCCGCCCTGATGGCAGAAAAGGTCGTGGTGGATTTCATTGACAAAAGTTTATTAAAAAAGTGAGTTTTATTTGTTAGTCTAGGTTCGCACTAGTCGAGAAATAACAAACCAACGACTACACAGCCCGAATAGACGCCTCACGAAAGGCGAACACTTTCTGTCAACGCATCAGACAAATACGTCTTACTTAAGAAAACGATCGCGCGATCTACTTTAGTAGCGACCACTTCCCTGACCCGTGAACATCTTGCATGTGACTCGCGAATTTTCGACAAAATAAAATACAACAGAGGTGCAACATGGTTCCCTGTACTATAAAATAGTGCGTAAATAGTAGCCAAATGTGTAATTTAAAAAAAATGGCACTACTTTTCATAGATAAGTGAATTTTAATTTCCAAATTCATTACTTAAAATTAAGTCAGAGCTTAACCTATATTTGTCACAAGCAACTCGCGTTGATTTATTCGGACATCTTCGGATATTTTCGGACTATGCATCCCTTTCTTTTCAATCCACTTCGTTGTTGCTATACTTTTCTTTAATTAACGGCACGTGTACAGTGCCGTACCAGTTAAACTGTAATATTGGTACAAGTAAATATTATGCATGTTATCGTGAATGTTTTACAGACTTATGCTATAAGCGTACCATATTTGAATTAATTGATTTAATAATTAAATCAAATTATTCAAAACTTCTTAAAAATAATTCATAATACAATATATATAATTTTTAATAGACGGCACTCGCTCTCTTTACTGCTAAGACGCCATGTCAAGACAATTAGGAAACGGAAGTGAACTTGACAGTTTAAATAACTATTGCTATTTTATTTTTAATAGTACTCTATTATTATTTCAATATTGTAAAGAAAGCTTGTTTTAATAAAATATTCTTTAAAACAAAAAATTATGGGTATTTTACTAAATACAATACCTACTTAAATAAAACTTTTTTGTTTTTTTATTTTGTACTAATTTATAGTAGAATATAATTCTGGTACTGATTAAGTAGACTTGGTACCAAATTTATTAGTTAAAGTTCCCATCACTATTTGCTTATTAGCAAGTGTCGCAACCTTGATTTTAACCAATTAGCGTGCATTTCAACCCGCCTCCCCCATACCGCTTACCTCAGACTTTTGACAGACAGGTTTGGATGCAGAAGTACATACATTAGGCGTCTATTCGGGCTGTGTAGTCGTTGTAACAAACACTGATTTGTGTGATTTTGATTGTTAAATTACTTAAATAAATGTTATAATTAACATTATTTCGAAATGTTATTATTTTTGACAAGTAGTAAGCTTGCAAGGTAATTTTTATGATCTCTAGATCAAGTTCTAGAGATGAAAAAATAAAATTGTTTTCTTATGTTATACAGTCAATATACATAAAAGTCGATTAATCGACTTCAGTATGGCTTCGGATTCGACGAGAAATCGAAAATTCGTTTGGACACTAGTTATATGTATTTGGTGTCTCGGAAATGATTAGTGGTTTATATAACAACGGATTATACAACAATTTGGGTGCAATTTTGTATTTAGATATTTTTTCATCATCCAACTTTATCCAAACAGGTTCCATCGCTAAAAAAATCCAAAATCGTTTGACGACGACGACAGTTAATATAGGTAATTTTACCCTTAATGCACCACCCGCAGTCCACGTGACTCACCACCACTTTTAAACAACAAAAAAATAGTTTATTTTTTAGAGTTTAGACTTGCGCTTTCTATTAACTTCCTGCGTTGAGGTGCAGGGCGCAGGGGTGAGCGGTCGTATGCGCGTTCGGAAAGGTAATATGAAAAAAAAAGATTGTTAGCGTAAAAAAAAAAAAAAAAAGAAAAAAAAATTTCTTGAATGAGGCTGCAAGAAGATGATTTACTGGGCGAAGATGAGGAGATTGGCGATGGCAACTGCTATGCAGCTGAATGTATTCGTGAGCCACATTCTGATAACGAGGATGCCGATTATATTGTGAGTGATCGCGATACCAATTCCGAATGCTCCGAGACTGAAGAACTCCTGTTCTTCTGTTCTTTTGAACTTCTGTACTATCCTTAGTAACTTGAACAACATACCATGCCTTAGACATTCCTGATCAACCAAGTACAGAGCAAACTGATGATATTTTACCGAGAGGTCAGCGCAAATATTGCTATGCTTGCAATCATAAGAAACGAACATAGACTGCTTATCTTTGCACTGTCTGTAAGAAGCCATTCTGCCTTACTTGTTCCAAAAAGATATGCCAAGAATGTGTAACACATTAGTATGTTAACTTACTGCACGTTTTGAAATTTTGTATAGTGCCATTATTAATTATTATTATTTTTAATTACCTCATAATGTCTTCTAAAAGAAAAAATATTTTATTTTGTCCAAGAGCTACAACATTTATTTTTTCTTCTGTAAGTCGTAACGGACGATTTTTGATGACTGTTAATTTTAAAGTACTTGTAAACTGCATGTTAATTTGAGTTTATCACAAAATGTTACCAGATATGTACGAAGTATTGTGTTTGCTGGAAGTCCAATAAATAACAACATAAATAACATCTTTCGTTTAGTCTTTATTTAAAAAATTAAAACATGAGTCCCGGGGACTCATGGTGGTGATAAGTGATATTTTAATTAGGGTGGTAAATCAAGGGTTTATATTTGTAGCTATTTTGATTACGAATATAAAATCTATAAAATCATAATGTAATTAACATTAAATTTCTCAAATTTATTCAAAGTTATTTATAGGTTTGGATTTTAATATTATTATTGCTCTTTGCAATTTAGTTATTTTCCGTTCAGAATACTTCATTTTCGTTTGTAGGCATTTCCTCGCGACTGTGTATGTAAACGTTTTTGTGAGATGTTGACTCTGTATGAGATATCACCTATAAATTAATTCACTATTTTAAAACATTATTCACAATGTGTAATTTTCGAAAGTAAGATAAGTGTTGTGTAAACATAAAGCACAAAATCGTTTTATCACTTTCCGCTGGTATCCTAAAATAGGAAAAGAAAAACTTACGAAAATATTGTGGTAAGACTTTAAACATTTTAAATTATTGTATTGACTTAATTTTATCTGTTTCAGATCACTTATTTGCGCTGAGTTAAGTTATCACCTTAAGAATATTGCAGATTTAAATTTACGTTATTGTTCTGTGAAGAATAACTCTCCGACAATAAATATCAATAACACGCGTGGAAACATTATGTGCGAAAGCAACAAAAAACATCAATAATAATGTACAGTTTATAAAACAGTCTGTCTCCCAGAAAATAAAATTACATAACTATACCTATTCATAGTTTTATTTTATCCCAAATGCTGCTCTAAAGAAAATTAAGGTTTTTAAGAAAATTAGTAATTTTGCTGAAATCTCTCAAATGTATGGAAATTCACCCAATAGGTTTGTACCTGTGAGCCAAAATTACTCGAATTTGCACTAAATAAATAAAACTAAGAGGTGCAGAATACAAAGGTTTGAAATTCCCGCAAAAAAAAAAGCTTCATATGGGAGCCCACAGTGGCGCTAGAATACACTCATAGATGCGTATTTATTTTTTTAGTTAGATAACGGTATTCTCCTGGTAGACAGTAAATGTTCTGTGGAGAATCCTAAATATAGAATTATAGTAAAATTATTTTGTCCGTGCAGTTGGAGTCATAAATCATACAGTTCCTGAGAAAACTCAAGACCCTGAGAGATATTGAAGACGCTCGACCAAGAATTTATTTAGATGAGACTTGGGAATTTATTTAGATGGAACCAAAATCACAGTCGCAAGCGAATTTGGCTAGACAAGGATGGACAAGACGGCTTAAACACAAAAACGGGAAAGGGGGCAGATTAATTGGTAAATATTCTTTCATCTTTTACGTAAGAAATACGACTTAATAATTCTAGTATAGTTAAATCATTTTTTTTTTAAATTTAGGTTGCCATCACGACGTGTCAAGCAAGAACTAAACCATAACCATAAACAATAATTAATATTCTGAAAGAACAAGTTTAAGTAAATTTATTATTAAAACTTAATAAAAGCTTAAAGCAGGTCTATTCGCTAACTTTGTTGATATCAAAATTGTAGTACAATGCGATTCAAATAAGAATAGGACCGTCAATGACTTCGAATTTTTTTATTAACTAGTTTTACGGCACTGGGTTCTAGCCCTTCTGAGCCTATCATTTCTTTAGGAATCTTAATTTTTATATGTTTTCCTTCGCAATATGCTGATGCGTCACATTGCAAAGCCCTTGTGAGATTTTGACGACAACTCAACCCAGCGGACAGTTGATGATGACAGCCACTCAAGTTCATAAGGCGCCCAAGCGATCAAAATGACTTGAGGTTTATATCGACATCAAAACACTTGTTTCATCGTTTTCTCTAATAGTTCACATGCGCGAACACTTAATTATTTGAATAACTTATAACTTATTCTTGTTTGAATTGCATAGTTAGTATATTAAGTAGTATATTTTATGCCTTCATTTTGCTAGTTTGTTGTTTGGTATCGTAAAAACACACACAACACAGTATCTATACAACAAATTACACTTTTCACAGTGACAATAGACCTGCACCTTGTTTAGTACGTCCAAGCCTCAGTACGGCTTCATTTCGTGGTAGCTACCACGAAATACTGGAACAACATAACACTACCAATTAGAAGTCCAGCTACAGTTGGTTCGTTTAAATATAACCACAAATACTAGCTGAATATTCAAAAGTCAACCTATTGAAAATTATACATGGAGTTATGCATCTCATATACTTTTTATTTTAATTGAGTAATTGCTACTTAAATTAAATCTTTGAGTACATTTTACTTTACATTGTATAATAATGAATACTGTTACGTTTATTTTTTAAGGTTTATTTGTCATGGAAGATCAACATCAAAGTACTCTGTCCGTACTAAGACTATGCTGTATATGCTATCATTGTAAGCAAATTGCTATAATGTGTTACTAAATAAACTTATTTCCTTTTTTTCCTTTCTTACTCTACGAGGTATGGGGTGGCCCTTATAGAAAAGCTATATAGCATACGACGTAATGTGCATGCATGTGACGTTGAGTAAAAATAAAAATAAAATTTCTTTGCAACCCGCTAAACATATAAAATGATGTGTTTACCTGGATGAAGCGCCCCCCCCCAAACCACCCGAGTGCGCTTAATAGGTAAGACACATCATTTTATATGTTTAGCGGAAAGTGCAAAGAAATTTATATTTTTATTTTTTATTATAATGGATTTCCGCAAAGTAACGCCTGATTCTATCAATTATCATAATTTTGAGGTCAACAGTCAGCGATTAGGCTTGCTGTTGATCTAATGACAGTATTCAGAGACAATCTCAAAAAGATCAACCTCCACAATGTCAAAATTTACATGTAAACCACACAAATTTAGAAGTCAAATTGTTTTGTAGGATAAGTAAAATAAATGTAAGTATGTCCTTACTTCCTACAACTACAAAAATATTCAATATAAAAATAATCAATGTCTTAAACTTAGCGTAATATAAATTTACATACACATAAGTGCAATCAATGAGTGAATTATAAGTGTACAATATTAGTAAACATAACCTTGTAAACACACTATCCCTTCATGGCTGCAATGAGGCCCGGAGCGTCCACAAGGTACAAGCCCTGTTCTACTTGCTCACAGCGGCTCACTTTCAGGACTCCCCGACCTTCGTCATTTATTTTCATATATTCAACTGCGCGCGCCAACATCTCTTGCGTCGGATCTTTAGGGAAGTCTGTAAAAATATTATTAATATTTATTAATGAGCCCATAAGCAGTACTCTGCTGGGATATGGCTCTCTAGTTTCTACCACAGTAAGAAATAAGTGTAATTGCCACGTCTCGCAGACATAATCAGTGTGGCTTTAAGCCATAAGCCTAAATCACGCTATCAAAGTTCCGAAGTAAGGCGGTATATATAGAATACCTCTAAACTACCACTCGGAGCGTTGGCCACTCCCCGGGCAGAAAACCTTGCCCGCCGATAGATCTCCACTTTCCTTCCACGGCCAAATCAGCAATACCAATAGAAAAGTTGCATCTTTTTTATTTATTTTTAAAGTTTACTAAATATTATTAAGTAAAATTTAAATATAATAACAATTGATTTTTCATGTAATTTTACAATTAAAAATGGTTTTTCTTAAATGTAGATTCAAACGCCAGTGACGTTACGTTGACGTCTACGTTGACTCGAAATAAGGTATAGTTACTCATTTCGCAATATACTAAATTTCAAGTCAGTCGGATGTATAGTTTTATAGTCCGTTCGCGTTAAGAAAATAGTCAGTCATCAGTGCAACTACAGGGTAAAGGTGTATTCACAGTGGAATAAAAATTCTCTTTTTTTTTCACACATTTAATTAAGTTTAATGGAAAAAAAATATGATTAAAACTACTTTTACGGATTTTATCGCGTTTATTTTTTCTTACTTTTTTACTTTTATTTTTAATTCCCGACGTTTCGGGCGCTTTCCAGCACCCATGGTCACGGGGGACTGAGATGACTGACGTCCCGATGTCATTGTTAAACCCGGAGTACCTTCAGCTTTTTTAATTATTGTTTATGGTCCGATCTATGCAAAATGAACTGACTATGTCCTGAGGTCTTGCAGTGGTATGCTTGGGTTTAGTTTTAATTTTATTGATTATAGGATCCCAAGCAGGTGGTAGTACCCAGCCTCCTTCTCTATTGAAATTAGGATGTTTTTTAATTTCAATAGCCTCACGTATCATCCTTGGTAGGAATCGGTGTTCTTTCGCGAGGATTTGTGGTCTATCAAATCTGATGTAATGGTTGGGGCCGTCTAGGATATGATCACAAACTGCAGACTTCTGAAGTCAGACAGTCTGAAGTCAAGTAGTTTTAATCATGTGCAATGTTCGCGTAAATATAAGAAATCATTATGGAAAAAAAATATCTTAAAATTACTTAAATCACTTATCAGTATCGCTAGATTCTCCAGTTCCATTACCTAATTATGAAAGAATTTTGTTCTGCAAGTTCCACGATGTCATCCAAATTCCACATGGTATTATCTTCGCGTATCACGTGGTTGCAGCACTTCTTCCAACGATTAGCGTCTATTAATGCTATTGCGTCATCTAATAATTTTTTTATGTCACTCATTTTGAACATGGAGTTATTGGCACCAACATAATTTTTTATTTGAGCCCAAACCAATTCAATTGGATTAAGTTTGCAATGGTAAGGCGGTAGGCGAAGAATTGTAATGCCATTACTTTTGGCAGTCTCATCTATTAAATATTTATTATATTGTGGGGCGATTTCAGCAACTTTCATTAATAATTCTTTTTTTAAATAAGTCATGTCCATGGATTTGCCTTTGCTTTGCAGCCAATCTATTATTTGCTGCTTGTTCCAGCTGTTGTTGGTATTTTTTCGACTCTTACCGAATGATAGGAAGCGTTATCCATGACAACCACACTTCCTGGTTCTAGCTTAGGCATTATATTAATGAACCAATTAAGGAATCTTTCACCATCCATCTCTTCATGATAGTCTTGTAGACTATTCAAATACTAGTAGACCATCTTCCACAATCCTTTCCTGCCAATGTGCAATACAATTAACCTTTTACCTTTTCCCGTCGGAGCTTTTGGACCGGCTGATAAGCCATCTAGAAAGGCTTGTCTTTTATTTTTTTACCGTTGTATCCAACCATGCTTTTGTCTTTACGTGTCCGGCGTTTACCCACGTTTCGTCAAGATAGTAAATCGTTTTATTAGCAGCTCTGTATTCTTGTATTTGCCTCAGATATTTACAACGCCATAAAAGAATATCTTCTCTTTCGACTAACAATGTTCTGCTATCCTGTTTATTGAAATCGAAACCAAGCTCGTGCATTATTTTATGAAGTGTGGTACGTTTGAAAACAGGAATATCTTCGTCAGCTTCGCAAAGTGTCATAATTTTGTCCAATGTCGGGTAGTCGTTATTTAAATATATTGAGTGAACTTTTCTCCTTATTGCAGATTTGTCTAGTTCATCTAATTTATCGACCGTCGATAGTCAAGCTCTTTTTTCACGGGTGATTTTAATGTGTTAGCATCCTTTTGTTCTTTAATAATTTCATAAACAGTATTTTCGTACACACCACATGCACTTGCTGTTTTTATTACTGTGCTCTCCACAGTCGCATTTAAATCACACAGTTTAAAGTACTTATGAACATTGTAAATTACGCGTCTCTCTCCGCTATAGATTATTGATCCATTTTTATTCTTTCGAATAGGTGAGGTATTCATTTTCAAAATTTAATGTTGAACGAGTAACACGCAAAATACACAATCGTTTTGTTCGAAGGCCTGACTTCAACTGGTCACTGTGAACTTGACTTTCTAACTTCGACTTCTCTTGGGGGCGTGGCCAGGCCGGCGGACAACGATGACTCACTATTTTCTTAACGCGAACGGACAAAAAAGATCATGAGTTAATATATATATATATATATATATATATATATATATATATATATAATATATATCCGGAACACCTGTACCAATAGAACAAAGGTAACAGACTGAGAGTGGTAAGGAAATTAATACAGAGATATGATTTTCTCACAGTAAATCTTGCAGACTCACAAGACAGTGGTTCGGTTAAAAGTGTCTTGGCCACAGGAATGCTAGTCGATGGTCAAGGCAAAGAATCTACATTTAAACAGTGTCGTTGTCCAAATCCAAAGTTTATTTACACCTACCTAACTATTTATAATAACTTTTTTCTGTGTGAGTTAAATAAAATCAGAACAAATATAAGTGTGTATTAACAAACTAAGCACTGCATTGCATTACAATGTCTAATGGCCAACTCATGGTGACATTCATTTTGAGTTAAAAGTGATAAGAGACTGCATGAGACCAGTATTTTAAAATTAATATCATTCTGCATCAGCCTATAAACCCCCTGACATGAACTGGACTTGAGTCTCTCCTGTTGCATGGAGGATTTGCATTAAGGTACCTCGAAAATTTGGTTGTTTTCCTATTTCACACATTTCTTAAAGTTTTATAGATTACGTACCAAATTCTTAAATATTTTATGTTTTATAATATGATACAAGGAAAACACAATAACATGTGATGTTCTCTTTATAAAAAAATGTAAAGTAGGCACTAATTAGTTACATTTCTCCATGACACCACTATATTTTTACGAATTAATTCATGATATTACTTACACTACACTTTCACACAAACCATTTAACAGACAACACAGTATTGTTAAAAAAAATGTTGTTTGGCGCTTACGTAGTTTATTTCCGAGCGCGTGCTCGGTATAGCTATCTCAAAATTTGCGTACATGAAGTCATTGCATCACTTTCATTTTGATACTCCCTCAGCCGTTCTAAAACTACGATTCATTTTCAAGGTATCCTCTTAATTTTCGCGATTGGCGAGCGGGTTTATAGATCACAAAAGCAGACGTCTCGCGGTCCGGTTATTTTACATATAGCTTAAACAGAATAGTATACCGCCTGCTATGGCGGTTCCACATTATCGCCGTGAATTCACGGCACAAGTCTTGCCCTCCACATTTACGGGATGCTCACAATCGTTCGTGAACCCCACCGCGAAACGGACTTAGAAGCTACTGCTGCAAAAAATTTATTTGCTGTGGCAACATATCACTATTTAGATGTCCAAAATAAAAAAAATATTAGAAAGCGTTGACAAAAAAAAAAAAGAAGACGGTGTATGACTAAAGTACATCGTCCGTACGCCTTTATAGTCCGAAACGAACTGGCACGGTGTCGTAAATGTGGATGTGTAAACGCCGCGCGAAGGGTGCGTGAACCCTTTGTCGCGGGACAAAATACCGACTCTGATCGAGGAACAGGCGTGAACGCGCGTGAATCCCGTGAAAACCATCCACATTCACGTTCACGCCTGTTTACGGAGGTTCACGGCGATAATGTGGAGCCGCAGTTAAGACTATAAGGAAGAGGTGTGTCGCGTGAGAAGACAGATCGATGCGTTCGCTACTAATATGGTCATTACTGCATAGCAACTAACAACTTCGCGTGTATTGCACACACTCATTGTGTTTGTAAAGTTGGTAACTTAAATTAATTTAAACTGTAATCAACTTTCTCTTTATACATATAGGATTAGAGAGTCAAACAAGCACACACTCAACGTGATGTTGCGGCTTAAGAATGGATGCTGTGGCCCAGACATTTATTCTCAATCACGTATTAAAACTGCAGATGCGATCCAATTGAGGACCGATATGGAATGCCTCTTTTCCAGTAGTTTTCGATTCTCTACACTCACAACAGGAAACACAGCAGCATTAAGGGGCTATTTCACGCTTGAATTCTTTGAGAGCGTGGTCCTGCCCCGGTCGAGCCGACCCGTTCGTGCTACTACTATAATATAGCTGCAGCGTGGCTCTACCTCATTAAAATCTGCTTTTTATTGTTGCGTTTCAACACCGTCATCTGTCAATATGAAGCCATAAGCTTGTGATGGCATTTCCCATCATACAGCATACTCGCCTTTTACAACATCCATGAAAGGAAGGCGTGATGGTAACTTACAATGGTTGGTATAGTTCATTTCAAATAGCATGGCAGGATTGTACTTGAAGCGGTCATTAGGCGATAACAAAAGAAGTGGTATTTACAACCGATACCTGGGAAGACCTTATCCTGACGTGGTATTTTTGTGGCAGCAAACAAGTTTTGATGCTTTTGTTAAATACACGATGACATTGTTGTCAAAAATTCAGTCGTCTTGTAACTTCATTATTACACAGACGTACAAATAAACATGTTTCGACCATGAGAAATATCAAATAGTGCATCTACAAGTGATGAAAATAGTGTTCAGCGTAGAAAAAGGCATTTAAGTTCAGGCGCTCAAGACATAGTTTTGAGTGTTTACAATAAGCTTTTGAATCGCATGGGTGATAAGGGAGTGATTAAAGAGACATCGGAATTAACAAACGTGCCTATAAGAACTGTTTGTAGAATAGTGTCAGCAGGATCTAATCATCTTCCTCGTAAACGGACCAAGATAAGTTTTAAAAGAATTGATAATTTTACAGAGGAACATGTGAGGAGGACTATTTACAATTTTTACCTCAACAATGAGATTCCGTTACGTGAGATTTATCAATCATTGATGAGAAGTGAAGCTGGTTTTGAATATTCAGAAACTACACTCTGGAGACTATTAAAAAAAACTTGGATACCGATGAATGTTCTTCAGAGTGATTGATTAAACAAAATATTAACAAGTTGTTATAAGTATTTAAAATAGTTAAGTTAAAAGTAATAAAGGTTTTTTATCTACAATTTAATTTGTTTTAATGTTCAAGTACCAAAATTCGTCATTCCAGCTATACTGGTTCAGTATTATCGACAGATGCTTAACTTCAAGTGTTAAAGCAATAAAATAATCACACAACAATAGATTAACATTACAGCTGTAATTGCTAAGTCTCAAGTGGAATCCTGCCATCCTATTTGAAATGAACTATACACTGACCTCGTATCTCCAGGTGAGCGGAGAGTGCGGGTAAATCCTTTACGAAGTCTGGCAGCATCTTCCGTAATACGTTTACGCTGACGACGTCTACGTTGCCGTAATCCACGTAGCACACGCGAGCTTCATCACCGCCCGCACCGCTCACTTGCTCGCAAAGGACTGCACGGAACCATTGCGGATCTGAAACGATCAACCCAAATTCTGCTATAGAATAAAATAGAATAGAATATTTTTTAATCAATGTTCAAAAACCTCGTGGTTCCTGTTAAGCAGCGTATAATAAAAAATTTGATTAAATTTAAATAAATGTTTATTTTTATTGGTCAGGGAATAGCAGTATTGGTCAAAGTCCAAGCTTTACTGATACGCGTATCAACTAGAAGTAATAAAACCACATATAATTTGGAAATATTTTTTTTAAATTAAATTACGGTCGTGTTTTTTGAATCAAAATTAATTCGATACATTTGAATACAACATGTAAAACAACCAAAAGTTGTTTTTACATGTTGTGTATTACAAATAATCCTTATTTAAAGTTTTGTATTACAAATAATCCTTATTTAAAGTTTTTTTTTATTCTTACCACGGAAAGCTCTGTCCTGAAAACAGCTTGGAAACGACGACCTCATTCCCAGGAGTTATTACCAACCATGTATTCATTTATACAATAACCCTCTTTATAGTTTATGTTATTTAAACTTTGTAATAGAGAGACCGTATAAATTTTCTGGGACTTTATTGTGATATTGTATACATTGCCCCTTGAACGAATTATGGACTCTGTGGAGTCGAGAAACTGACATACAGCGTAAACCTTTGTATATTAGTATGTTCGTGAACAACTTACTATAAAAATGATCCTATGAAATAAGGTCCAACCGTATAGTGGCGGTGTAAGAATATACCACCACCCCGTATCGTTCCGTGGTTGTCGTAAGAGGCGACCGAGATAACAAGCAAGGAGATGAGCAGCAAGTGTTTTCCTAAAAAAGCTGCGGTTGCCAACCCGCCTGCCAAGCACGGCTGGCAACTATGGCAATATCCGCCTTATGAGGCACGCAATGGATCACCCAACAGTTTCCCTGTGCCATAAATCATATAAAAAATATTTTGATTGATTAACTACTGTGTCTATATCGCCGACAGGGAAACTGTTAATAAATAGACTGTAATGAAAGAATGGAAAGAAATGTATGCAATACTGGCTATTATCTGGAGCACATAATTTAAATTCAAATACACAGCTTCCAACACTATACATTAAGACGACACATCGAAAACGCTATCGCCGTACTGATCCGAGTGAATACATAATTTCTATAAAAACTTGAAGAAACGCCGTCATAAGGTCTAAAATTGCGTAGCGCCCGCGACGATTAAAAGCGCTTAGAAATTGTCAGAATCTTAAAATATTTTTTAAAAAATTATTGATTTAAGTTATCAAAATAATGAGCAAGTAAATTATGAATATTGATGTTATGAATATATTCGAGTGATTCCCAAGCATATAGATCAAATGATTTCGTTGTAATTTAACTATAGTGATTTTTTAGAGGTGTTTTCGCAAATAATTATGATCGAGTCAAAATTATACAATCGTGTTTTTGAACAATCAAATTCAAGATAAAGACATGAATTTACCTATATCAAAATCCCACTTTCGTTAGTGGTGTCATAGTCCTATACTATTCGATGAAAGGAGGTGCATTTTTTCACGGTGTCGCCTTAATTATACAAGGACAGCTTCCAACATTATACAATTTCCAAGACAGTTTTGAGTTAAAGCATTGCTTGTACAAATGTATATATTACGAAACACCATGTTTTATTTTTAACTGACTTCAAAAAAGGAGGAGGTACTCAAATCGACTATGTTTTTTTTGTGTGTTTTTTATGTGTACCTCAGAGAACTTTTTTCTAGGTAAACCGATTCTGATGATTCTTTTTTATTTGAAAGCTGGTGGTTTTCATGAGATCCAATATCAATTTGATTAAGATTTGACCAGCAGTTGTTGAGTCCTTAATAATCCATATTTAATTGATTTCGAATATATATACATTTGAATCTTCATTAACTCACCAATTAGGTCGATATAAACTTCCGTCTCTTAAAACAACAATGATTTCTAATTTCAATAATAGCCTTGCGTATCAACTTTGGTGGGAATCGGTGTTCTTTTTAGGAGGATTTGTGGTTTATCAAATATTGACTCTAATGGTTGGGACGACCCTGAATATGTTTACATACTGCATATTTCACATTTACATGATACACTGCATATGCTGCAAAGAGCGTACCGCCATCGCTAGTCGCGGAGATTTATTTGGATGAGTATATAGTAGTTTAAGAACTAGGTAGGTAAACTACTTTTTCTACTTGCTTTTTGTTGGGGGATGTTGCAGATAATTTTAACATTATTCCGAAAACAATTTCACAGTACGATTTGTTCAGAGAATTTCTTATTAAAATTATTAATTTCTTTGGTGCGCGTCTATAAACAGAAAAATTGTGACGAATTTTAACACGGTGGAGCCGTGCTGCAGCAATATTAATAGTAAAGTTGTAACACGAACGTGTCGGCTCGACCGGGGAAGGACCACACCCTCACAGAATACCTATGTGTGAGTGTAGAGAACCGGAGACACTTCTTACTAGGAAGGAGGTATTCCATCTTAGTCCTCAGGAGTGACAACGCTTGTGCATTTTAATTTTTAATTGATGATAGATGCAGATGTCCATGGGCCACAACAACCGCTTACCATTAGGTGGACTGTGTGCTTGTTTGTAAACCTTATTTTATATATAAAGAAATAAAAAAATGGGATAATTGTGACGAATACAGTTAAAATTTGCGAATATGTAGTACGACAATTTGCTAAGTTACATAGTAATATGCGTATTCATGCAAATGTGTGTTGACCGACATTATGACCAGACACCATGTTCAGCTGTGAACTTTTATTAACAAGCCAATGAAGAACCAGATTGCCTAACACCTTGTACACTTTATAGTTTTTAAGTTACATGTATGAAAATAAAATATATTTCGATGAGTTCATTCTACTTCATTTCATTCTTCAGAGCTTCATTCATTTTCCAGTACATAAATTATTATAATATTAATAATAATGTCCTCCAGACCGAATTTCGGCCACAGCGGCCTGCCTCAACGGAGGCTAGCCTTCGGCGCAGCAAGACAGGATTATAGTGCCCAAGTGTATGCGCAAGCACAGGTGCACTCTCTATTCCCTCACTCTCATAATCCGATGGGACGGTAAACCGACACGACCGGAGAGAAATCAGGCGCAGAACCAACGGTTTTACGTGCTTTCCGAGGCACGAGGGTTGAGACACCACCAACTTCCTGACTCCAAGCAGCTACTGAGAATTTCTTGACAGAAAAACTCAATAATTGATGTTTTAGCACGACCCGGGATTCGAACCCAGGACCACATGATCAGCAGTCGCACTACTACAACCACTAGACCAACGAGGCAGTTTCATTATTATCAGTAAATTATAATACTTACAAGGTGGACACTGGGCAACGCACAACTCCTCGAACTTGGGCAGATATGGTTCACGGCCAATATCACTGTTGCAGTAGGCCTCCATCTATATAACAAAACAAAATAATTGATAATTGTTTTTTTTTTATAGGATAGGGTGACAATCGAGCACACAGTTCACCTGATGGTAAGTGGTTGCTGTGGCCCATAGACATCTGCATCTGTCCTCGATTACGAATCAAAATGCAGATGTGTTGACACCCGTGAGGACTAAGATGGAATGCCTCGTTTCCAGGAAAATGGGTCGCCGGTTCTCTACACTCACCATACGAAATACAGCAGCATTAAGCTACTATTTCACGCTGGTATTCTGTGAGAGCGTGGTCCTTCCCCGGTCGAGCCGACCCATTCGTGCTACAACTATACATCTAATATAACTGCAGCATGGCTCTACCATTATCTACTATGATTATTTTGTAATTATATTGTAATACCGATCCATGTATTGTTACCATGTGGTGAGGGAGAAAAATATCCACCAGCCCATTTCCCCCATGTCCTAATGGAGAGGCAAATATGGTATATAAATAAATACACAAAAAAACTCACGCCTGTCACCCAGAGTGGTAGGCAGAGACTACAGACTTCCAGTTAGCATGATCTATGCATACGTACTTGATGGTTAACGGTACTCCTTCATCTGGCCCATCCTTAGTATATCGCCAATTTGGTCGATAAAGTTTAGTTAGGGCATCCTTACCCGACTCTGCCGTTCACTTCTGCAACATAGATTTGCTTTGTCTCTCTCCTTGTTCATTCTTTCTATGTGACCAAACAACCGGAGCATTCCTTTCTTAATTCTGATCACATCATCTTGCAAACTACCACCTTTCTCTTTTCACACAATTTCTCACGCTGTAATTCAGATTCAGCCCTAAAGTACTCTTTAATGATTGCACTTCTATACCATTTATTCGTACATCTGCCAAACCCAATACATTCACTACCATACATTAAGATATATGACGGTGAAAGTTGGGTGTGGATTAACACAGCATTGCGAATTGCCATACATACATTTTGGGACATGTTCTGACTTCCTGCAACAGAGTGAAGAGCCACATTTACTCTTTGGCCTGTGTTCACTCGTTACTCTATATCACGACTGGCACTGTGATCCTCAATTTGCCTGGCAAGTGTTGCGATTATGACATATCCTTTTTGCAATGAAAGAGGTCATGTCCTGCAGTTGAGGATTTTAATGGACTGATGATGATTAAGTTGACTTTTTTTATATAGAGGTGCGGACAAACGTGCACGCGGATCATCTTAAGGTAAGTAACTACCGCCGCCGCGTTGCCGGCCTTTTAGAAAAGAGTAAGCTCTTTTCTTGAAAGTCCCCAAGTCCTATCGGTTCGGAAAAATCGCCGGTGGTAACGATTCCACAAAGATATCGCGCGAGGAAGAAAACTTGTAAAACGCACAGTGGTGGACCGCCAAGCATCCAGATGGTGGGGATGGTATCGTTAGTTTTGTCTCGATGTGCGTTCGTAAAACTTGGCGGCTAGAATTATTCCGAAAAATTTCTCAGAGCACTTCCCGTGGTAGGTGCGATAGAAAATACAACATCCCATCGCAGCGCCAGTGAATTAGCCGATCGGAGAGGACTCAATTGTCGATGATTCGAACCGTTCCGTGCTAGATGCGGTCAAATGGAAGGAGCTGGCGGTTGAAACTGCACCTTGTAAAGTTGCAGGCCAATACTGTCCCGCTCTATTGAGCACGCCAAAGCTTATAAAAGGCCAATTTAGTCTTCTCTTCCAAGTGACCACGGAACTGTGTGTCATTTAATACGTAGAATCCGACGATTCCGAGGGGAGTGCCCTGAAATTGAAGAGATAAGACAAAGAGGTTCTTTTCCGTAGTAAACGCGCAAACTTGAAAAGACACAAGTTTGTTCCGGTACTTGATGACATGTTCCTGAGGGATTTCGGCATGGCCGGTGTATAAAGCATCACCAGAGCTGTGGTCCGCATAGCAATTAATATTACAATTTCGCAACATATCATTGATATGCAGAAGAAAAAGCGTAGGTGACGACTTCATGCTTTGATCGGCTAGGAAACTGATAATCAATCCACTTGCACAATTTCTCAGGAAGCCCAGAGGACGGAAGCTTCGAAAGAAGCGCTTTATGCCAAGTCATGGGTTTATTTTAACTGTGGTCAAGATTTGTTAACTTTTTTGATCTAGATATATTGCCAATGAGAGGTTCCACAACTTTTCTGTCATCAGAGCAGACTTGTTACAGACCGTAATAGTGATCAGTTTATTTTAAATTACCTTTACAATACCTTTCAAATGATACAAGCTTCAATCCTCTTGTTTTGTAATAAATACTAAAAAAAGTACCTTAATTTCTGTTTTTCTGTTGTTCTGAAGTAGAGATTCATCATCATTACAGCCCTTCACAAGTCCAATGCTGAACATAGGCCTCCCACAAGAAATGCCCCAAAGCACTCGGTCTTGAGCCAAATGCATCCATCGACTGCATGTCTTACCAGGTCGTCACTCCATCTAGTGGGGGGACGCATTATATGTCATCTACCAGTACAACGCTGCCGCTCGAGAAACTTCCTTCCACATCGGTTGTCGGTTCTTCGAGCTATACGGCCCGGCCCATTGCTACTTCAGCTTACTAATCCATTGCTATGTCGGCTATGTCGGTTACTCTGGTTCTACTGTAGATATCTTCCTCCTCAAAGTAGTCATTATAATTACAAAATTATTGAAGTTAAATAAAATAAGATAGCATGTTTTAATATTTTTAAATTATCTTCTAATCCTGAGCTACGTTAAAAATTCCAAATTGAAAGCTCATTGCAAAGTTAGTTTAAAATCAATTACTAAATTGGGGCCAGACAGACATACAGAGAAGCAAGTTAATAAAAAAAAAAAATATAGAATAGCTCACTTGTATTGGTAGATCTTCCAGGATCTTCTTAGCTAGGGGCTCTCCTTTCATGTATCCGGACACTATGGCGCCTTCTAGCGAACTTATGTCCATAACCTCTATCTCGCAGCCTGTTTCTGGTAGCTTCAAAAATGTAAGGTCACTGTACATCAATGTTGCAGTTTCTGAAACAAAAATGAAAATTGTTAAGTTGAACAAGAACTCTAACATCAAAGTTTTTTACTGGCGAAAATTACTACTTACTTACTTAACCCGGGGTAGCAAGACCACCTCCTTCTCACCTTAAAATTATAATTGATTTTCTCAATTAATATCATATAGGTTTTTAAGAATCCTTTCGATTAAGAATTAAATTGGGTAATTCATGTGTGGGCATAGTTCTTTTTACGAACATAAAAACGTTAGTTACAGCTCTCATTTTTGAGAGGGTTTTAGGGTAAGGATATGTCCACCGCGCTGCTACAATTTATAGGTGTGAATTGACAAGATAGTGGCTACACGGGCTCCGCCCACTCTCCCGTTCTGTTATGTATGTATTATAGTATTCTATGCTTATAAAAGTCAACACAATCAATAGTTTCCAATTTTAGTGTCAAGCGTCGCTGCATACAAATTATTTAAGAAATGGCAAATTGTGTAATAATTACGTGTCGAAAGAACAGTGGGAAATGGAATTTAAAGAGACATTTAAGGAGTCAAACCTATAATCTTGTGAATATTAGAAACAAAAATAACGTTATATTTATGTGTCAAAAACATTAATCAAAAGTCTAAAATGTGTTTGTAGTAGTGATAACTGATAATACGACGTAATTGCTTTGTATATGTGCTCCCGGCGACGCCAATCCTCCTACAAAATAACGTTGGCAGCCATTCTATTGTGTATATACACACACAAACAAATGACGACTTCATCTCAAGGTGCCGCCGTAAGGCACGTTATCTCGAGATCGACATGTAGCGATATAGCGATGCTGTAGCGATATCGTGTATTAAATGCCTGCATTTAATACACAATATCGCTACAGCCTAACTACTATTAACAGTCAGTCACCGAAGGCGTCTAGACGGGACAGTCGTGCGGAGCGGTGAGAGGCGAGACGCGGGTGGAGGGAAGCTAGGGTTGTCCTGTCACACATATAAATTAAAGTGGTTTACACTACGTGTACGGTAAAAACTGTGTGTCGTCCTCATTTAAATAATAAGAATTAAAGTTTTATCAGTTTCTACATTTACAAGAATTCGTTTAAACGTGAAATAAAATAAAACCAGTTTTTTTTTAATTATTTCCCGTTCGGAGAACCCTAGCAATTTATTGTTTATATAGGCTTTTCCGACAACATCAAATGCGATGACTGACTGTATGTTCTTCTTAGGCTGTGATATCGCACCACTTTTACATGTCAAAGTCCACTTTCAAACTATTATTGATATAATAAGACAAGAGCAATCCGCTGGAGGTCAAGTTCCCGCCAAAATTCCCTTGCTAAAGTCTGTTCGGCAAGATTTGATAATTATAACTTATAACAAATAATAAACAGACATACTTCAAATTGTTTAAAAGAAGTTATTTACAACTCTTAGGCGTGGAATTTTTTTCTCATAATTAATAAGGTCCCATATAATTGAAATACAACCTTATTTAAGAAAAGTGTCATTAAAATCGGTTATTTATCTGCGAAGATAAGAATAGTCCAATACAAAACCTTTTCACATACTTTCCACCCAAGTGCGGACTTTTTTCTTCAAATTTCAAAGGGATCAACCTTGAGGTAAATCCTATTTAAATAAAAAATAATTATTAAAATTGGTTCACAATCTGCGAAGATATCGCATAATAAAAGAGAACGCACACTGGATTTGAGAACATCTCCCTTTTTAAAGTTGGTTAAAAAGGCGGGGTTTCCTAAACTCATTACAAATTACGGCCCGCTAATTATTTCTGCTGAAACACAGCGCCGCTGTCACGCCACGTCGGATCGTCCATCAGGCTTGCGACCTCGCGTTTAACAACAGCTGCGAGCCTCGCATCACGACACTAGGTGCTTGCGGCGAAAACAGATTGGCGGTACTTAAGGCCAGGTGAACAAATATGCTATTTTTTTCAACCTTTTATATCCCCCACTCAACTACCGTTAGCCTCTTCGTAACGCTTTCGTTACGCGTTCACCAGCTTACTCCCCAAAAACACGGTGATTGGTTACGGGTGCTTACGTATTTATACGTCAATACCAAATCACTGTACGATTTTAAATTGAAACTGAGAATCCCCGTTAAGACAACAATTCATTGGCTACATTTGCTTCAAGATTCTTTATTTCCTGATAATAATCAAAAACATTTCAAATAAATTAACTTTTAGTTCACCGAATGTCGCATGGTCATTTCAATGTAGACAAAAATGCATATAGCGGAGAAGAGATCGTCGTCGAGCATCGAAAATTCTCGTTTTAAGCGACAGTCGTTATTGCGAGATATTTCAGTCCCCAGGTATCCTCATCGATTCATGTTGGATATATGTAAATGTCTATGGGTCACAGCATCCACTTACAATCAGACGGACTGTATACTTATTTGTTACCCCTACTCTATAAAAAAGTATGACATTTCATACTTACCAACTACATCGCCACCACTCTTTTCAAGTTTTTTCCAATCCGGTGTACAGAGTTCTTCTATTTTACCATTAACAGATTCTTTTGTATCTGCAACAGTTAGTTTCACTTCTGCGCCGCTTGGGGCAGTTTTTGAACCGCTGCAAATTGTCTGTGGAATATGAAAAATACTATGGTCTTGTGCTTTATGCAGAATATCTTTCATACATTAATCTGTTACTTAAATGTGTGGCATAATACCGCCTGTTATCGGGGTCACATAATTTTAACTCAAATATAATATTATGATTACTTATCATTTGCGTGAATACTACACATGGGATAGAAGTAATTTAACGGACTTTATCGCCTTCAATTTTAACATTTTAAATTTCCAACGTTTCAGGCACTTTCCAGAGCCCATAGTCATGGGGGAGGTGGGACTGAGGTGTTTAACGATCGATGTCATAGATAACGAAGGCTAACTTCAACTTAATATTTAAAAATTAATTTTATTCCAATAAATATTATAGTCAGGTCAGCTTTCTAACATTATAAAAATCCAAGTCGAATTGTGAATAAAATACTACAGATGGTATTTTATTCACAACTGGACTTGGAATGGTCCAGTAGCTTAGAACCGGGCGGCAGATTTCAGGATGCCGACAGTTTAGGTAATTTCTTTTTACAGTGAAAATAATGGTAATTTAAAAAAAATAAAAAACAAGCCCTGCTTTATAGTTAGTTCAGTTAGTATGCAAAGTTTCATGATCTTATTTAAAGTATTTTATGAAAAACAGCGGTTTATTGTTCAGTTTGGAGGTAACTTTGGTTTTTTTTTTCTATCGAGAAAATTTTACGGAATCATGGTTTCGTCTAACATAGTACTTAATATTAATCCTCAACTTTACCATATATTTATTTCAAAATTAATGCTGCAATATTTTCGGTATAACTTAAACATGTACGCTCACAGGGAGAGTGCACGCAATTGATAGAGGGCGGGAGGTGCTCTTCAAACTATGTAAGACACATCATTTTATTTTATAACGCGTATCTTAGGTAATTAGTTTTTAATAATTATTTTCATAAAGCCAACCTGTGATGTCTTTAAGAGCCGAGCCTCATTATAATGCCATTCACAGTTCGTTCTCGGTCCGATCTCGGTCTGATAAAATATCATCAAGTAAAAATATATGTGTGCATTCATACTATCCTTAACTGTCAAGTTTCGCTCAAAATCCATTCCAATAATATATTAAATCAGACTGAGATCGGATCGAGAACGAACTGTGAACGACAAATGAGGATCGGCCCTAATGATCTAACGACTTTTTCTGCCACCAGGGTGGCGTCACTTTAAAATGTCGTAGACGGAGAAATCTATAGACTAATGATTAGCGTGGCCTCGAGTGAGAAAGGACGATAACGTAGTTTTAGGTTATACAATAAATCTTTATGACTTTTAAACATATTTAGATAAAAATTTTAATTGTTCTAAGAACTGAACTAAACAAGATTCACCAATCTTAAGCTCACTTCTCACTTAAACCAACTTGTAAACTCTTTAGATCGCTACGAATTGTCAAAGTTGTTTAGCTAATTTGCTAAACAAAAAAACCGGCACGGAGAAAGGGACAAACAATCACACCGCTCTGTCTCATTTCTATGCAAGACGTATGCATAAATCTATCTTTTTCGTGAGCGAATACGAAAGAAGGCGTCAATTTGTCTATAGGTTTCTCTGTCTACGTAAAATGTGGTGCGATATTTGACAGATTTCATAACGGGGAAGTTAATTTGTTCGAAAAATGTGCAGGTTAATGTTACTTTATGTACTATTAGTTATATTTTATATTAATTTTACTACAAATAAATAAATCAAACCTCAGATTTTCATAAAAGCAAAAAAATAACGAAAAAAATGTGCAAAAAAATCAAAGAGAAACCACCGTGGCATTTTTTCGGGTATTAATGTAATACTTTATATACTGATTAACATTTTTATTAAAACTAACTTCTCAATTTTAAACTTTTATATGTGGTAGAGCCATGTTGCAGTTACATTAGTAGTATAGTTGTAGCACAAATGGATCGGCTCAACCGGGGAAGGACCACACTCTCACAGAATACCAGCGCAAAATAGCAGCTTAATGCTGCTGTGTTTCGTATGGTGAGTGTAGGGAACCGGAGACCCTTTTTACTGGAAACGAGGTATTCCATCTTAGTCCTCACGGGTGGCAACGCATATGCATTTTAATTCGTAATCGAGGATAGATGTAGATGCCTATGGGCCACAGCAACCACTTACCATCAGGTGGACTGTGTGCTCGTTTGTCACCCTATCCTATAAAAAAAATTAAATTATTTGTGTAACAAAAAAGATTACTTCAGCGTCAAGTAGTGACATAGGGCCCCCGCAACACACCTCTCACCCCGTATGGTCTCAACACATGGTGTTTATTGTAGCCTGGTACTGCTGTAAATCCTTCCTAAAGGAGAGGTCCATACCCAGCAGTGGACTTTTAAAGACTAATGAAGAAGGAGATTGCACATTTAATAAGGATATTTATTTATTTACACTTTATTGTACTTTAATAAAAAGGATTACAAAAAGCGGACTTAATGCCTTCAGGCATTCTCTCCCAGTCAAGTCTGTGGGTATTTGAGAGACTAAGTTAAAGTTATAGCCTATATACGAGGGTGGATTGAAAAGTACTCGGCCTAACCAAGAAAATAAACACATACTAAATCAGTTATATTTTTATTTTTCTACATAATCAGCATCAAGTCCAGTACACTTTTGCCACCTCCCCTTCCAAGCATTTAGACCGTTGAAAAAAAATGATTCTTCCTTAGAGTCAAAATATGCGTCTACAGCTGCTTTGACCTCGTCGTTTGTCGAAAATCTTTGACCTCCCAAGTGCTTTTTTAGGTTAGGGAACAGAAAGAAGTCTGATGGTGCCAGATCAGGTGAATACGGCGGATGCGGTAACAGTTCAAAGCCACAGTTGTGAATTTCAGCCATTGACTGTACTGACGTGTGAACACGGGCGTTATCTTGATGAAACAGGACTTTTCTTCTGAGTATTCCTCGACGTTTTTCTTTTATTTCCTCTCGTAAATGACGTAGTAAGGTGCAGTAGTAATCAGAGTTTATAGTCTGACCCCTTTCAAGATAATCAATCATAATCACACCTTTCGAGTCCCAGAATACCGAAGCCATTACCTTATTTGCCGACAAAATCGACTTAGCCTTTTTTAGGGGGTGGTGAACCAGGTCTTCCCCACTGTTTTGATTGTTGTTTTGTTTCCGGTGTACAGTAATGAACCCATGTTTCGTCCATAGTAACAAAACGATTCAAAAAATCATCTGCATCGGCTTCAAATAACTCCAAACAGTCGCGTGAAATAGTCAATCGCGTCCTTTTTTGTTCAACTGAAAGCAGTCGCGGAACCCACCTCGCAGACACCTTGTGGAAACCCAACTCGTTGACAATGATGTTTTGAGTTCGTTCATAAGAGATGCCTATAATCTCGACCATCTCTCTAATTTTTAATCTGCGGTCTCCCATTATTAAATCAAGTACATTTTTAATATTTTCGTCAGTAGTTAACGTCGAAGGCCTTCCAGAGCGGGGTTCATCTTTCACACTCTCTCTACCACGCTTAAATTCTGCTATCCATTTTTTAACGGATGAATATGACAGAGCACAATCACCTAATGTACTGACCATGTCATCATGGATGGCTTTTGATGATAGCCCCTTCTTATGGAGGTACTTAATGACGGCACGCTGCTCGATTTGCTCCATTCGCGGAAATTATGTCCGATTACTTTGTTAATAAATTTATAAAATCACAACTAATTATCGCACACGTTTCGAACTTTACACAATGGACTAGTCTGAACTGAACTAAATAATGTGGGTAGATTTGATTTTTAGAATTGAATGGATCTGTGTTAGGCCGAGTACTTTTCAATCCACCCTCGTACATCCCACGGCTAGGCACAGGCCCCCCTCATTTCTGTGTTTTAGCGCAAGGAAATGTCCATTGATGCTTGTTGACAAACTTCATATGTCTTTGAAATTATTATTTTTTTCTTTTTTCTCAGACATGCCGGTTTTCTGATCACGATTTTTCCTTAACCGCCGAGTACGTGGTAAATCAGCACATAAAATTGCAATTAACAATTTCTTTGGTGCCGGCGGGGCCTAAGCCCGGTTTGTTCGCGTATTGTGAAATTTACAACGAGCGCTAATCATATGAGCTATCATGGCACTAATTGCTAGCCGTATATTGCACAGCAATCAATCAAGCCAGGTTGGGTTTGATTTGAAAAAAAAAGCACGTCTAAGAACCAAAAAAATCTTTCGAACACGTGAAGTCCACCAACAAGCAATTGGGCAACGCCGGGGACACTTTTTTGCCCAAACCTTCTCAGGAATGACGTATACATAGCTCAATAGTGGAATTAAAAATTGAAAGTGGAATAGGATGTAACTTCACTTTACATAAACCAATAAACTGGCCTAATATACTGTAATAAAATATAATGGTGTGGCAAAATAAAAAAGTATATGATTAAAGATACAACCTCTCAGTGATAATATTAACAATATATACTTCTTAATTACGATTTAATATCTTAAGTCCTAAAGGGAAAATGAGGAGGATGATAACTTCTATGTTTTAAATATCTTACCAGCAGCAACTCGGTGGCAGAATCCTTTAACTTCTCAATATATTGAGTGGCCGCATCAGTTAGTACAGTGGCACCGCCCTGCAGGCTCACTATAGAAGCTTCAGCGGGATGGGCTGACAAATTGAATTCAGCAGGACAAGGGTAGATGTTCTCTAGTGTGGCTATTTCTATATTACCTGTAATTAAGAATGAATTAATTTAATTGTTACTACATAAAATTTAAATTTACTGTATAAAATGAATAAATTTTAATGGGGCGAGTGTTTCTGAGGTTTATTTACATGCCATTAAGACATGAATAACTATTTTTAAATTTTTGAAGTAAAAGTAAAGTTCTTTTGAAGCGAAATATCTTTATCGATAGAGAAGAAAATTTTAAAGTCACATTTTCTTGTAATATTTTATCGCAAGAGCTGCATGAGTACACTATTAATTAACCTACTTATGTAAAATACAAAATAAAAGAAGTATGATATGTCGTAAAGAAGTTTCACTTTGTATGTGTGTACAATTACATGCACAATTGTTTTGTCTGTCTGTGTGTCCGTGGTAATTATAAGAATGGTTAGATTGTAATGAAACTTGACGAACGGAAACAGAGCAATACCAGAAATGATCTAGAGACCATAATTTATCAAAAAAATTGGGAGGTATTTTTTTTACAGAATTAGGGTGACAAGCACACAGTCCATCTGATGGTAAGTAGATGCTGTGGCCCATAGACATCTACATTTAATCTCGATTAAGAATCAAAATGCAGTTGCATTTTCACCTCTGAGGATTACGATGGAATGCCTCGGTTCTCTACACAAAACACAGTAACATTAAACTGATATTTTCCGCTGGTATTCTGTGAGTGCGTGGTCCTTCCCTGATCGAGCTGACCTATTCGTGCTACAATCAAGCTGCAACATGGTTCTACCAAGTGTAAAATTTCGAGAAATCAGAAAAAACTGATTAAATAAATGGTCTTTGATGATTATTTCAAATCTAAATAGCGCCACATTAGTAGATCCTACTCAGTTACTCAGGCGAAGCTGGGGTGGTTCAATGCTTACCAAATTCAATGTACTCCAATAGATACTTGTTCTGCTTAACGTTGGTTCGCTTACAGAGAGCTCTGTAATGCATGCCATCTACAAACTTGGCGACCACAACTTGACCTTTCTGCGGTGGCTCCTTCATTGGTGTAGCTAGAAAAAAATTTAAGTTCTGTTAATGATGGCTTTCACAATTTTCTCTACCACCAAGACGGAACCACCTTGTAATTAAGGTGTAATATTTGTTTGACAGATTTCATGGTAAAACCTTAAATTATTAGAAAATAGTGTACATTAATATTTCATTTTGAAATATTAGTTATATTTTATATTAACAATATTAGAAATGGATAAACCAAGCTATAGTAACACAAACTTCGACTTTTAAGAAAATACTTTAGGAGAAACTTTTTTTTAGGTTAAAATGTGTATAAAATTAAGGAATATAGCATTGAGGCACATGTTAATGCTAAAGTGCGTAAATCAGTTAGAGTGCAGATTAACTAGTTAATCTGAAGATTACCTGGCTGAATCCGTTAAAATGTGGAAAATTCTTCACATTTTAACGACTCAGATTTCAGACTTCCTAGGTATTTGCATAATAACAGCTACTTCCTAGGTAATCTGCAGAACAACGACTAAGGCACTAAGGACATTTACACAGTAGATAGTGATATAAAATATAATATTGAAAGAGTTTTTAATTACAAAAACTAATAAGTATGTAAAATAGCATTGAAATTAATAAAGGAATTTAAAAATTTACTTCCAGAACATCAAGAAAAATAAAACCAGTCTGACGGTAAAAACAACAATCATTCATAAAATATAGTAATCAAAATAATCATCAGCCTCTCTCTCTCTCTCTTCCGCGAATCACCTGTGAACTTTGAGTATTGAACCACATGGAGGCCATGCGCGTTAATTCCTAAACAAAAATTCTGTAACATCAGGGGGGCGCAAGATAAACACACAACTGTATACTTAACTACAAATGCAAAATTAAATCGTGTCACTATAAACGCACACTACAACATTTGTGTTTGTGTTCATCGCGTTTACGCATACCATCAAATCGTACACGTGTCGATACACTGATAGCGCTGGCTGAATGCGTAAGCAACGTAAGGCGTGGACTATGTCGATATTTTTTATCGATAAACAAATCACCATAGTCCGCACAAGTTTTTATTTGATTATAAGTAATACATAGATAAATAATACCAAGGTGTTATCTGAAATTCTTTTATTAAAGTATTTAAAAATGATCTTCGGAAAAAAAACTTATAAATTATTGAAAAAAACTTTATTATTTTGATACAAGTTTATTATTTTACATTATGCAGGATAAAATTTAAAATATTTAACAAATCAAAATAAGAGGTTTCGTTAATTTATTTTAAAAATCAGATTTATGAAAAGAAAAAATCCTATCAGTTTATCATCTTAGATGGTGTTAACCAAGTTTTTGTTTTATTATAAGGCTTCAATCACAAAACCGCTATTTATAAAAAGTTGTTGATTTTTAAGAGTTATTATATGAACTATCTGGAAAATATTTAATAAATTAGGAAAATAAAAAAAGTTTTTCACTGTATAACAGTTGAACAAAGTGAACTTTAAAAAAGACAGCTGCTTAAAAATAAAATGTGACATCTATCTAGGGCTAAGTATTCCCCAGAAAGATGTTTTGCTAAACTAATGTACAATTGATGGCCGACGACTTGGCTACACAAAAAAAGTGTTAACTGTTTTAAAACTTAGACTAGAGAGTAACCCTGACAAGAAATTGTATTGTATATTAGTGATAGATGAAATGAAAATAAAACAATTGACGGAGTACTATGCCAGTTCTAAAAGACATTTTGGTTATGTACATATGCCTTTGGCTGCTAGCATGGTATTCCGTCAATTGCCTAATTTTCATTTCATCCATGACCAAGGTACAATAATTTTTTTTTATCAGGGTTACTCTCCGCTCTTAATTTTAATGCCGTCAGCGCTTCTTGAGTAAACCCTGGCCGGCGATCGATGGTAGTGTATCACTTAGTCAATGTCCCTGGTGCAGGCAAACATGTTCCAAAAGTATTACGTACAGAGCGATAGGCTTTTGGTGAGTAATAGTTAAGTGTTAGGGCATAGTATTTCTTGCAAACTTGTGAAGCCTGTTTATGCTATTGTTTTTTATGTCGAGGCATTTTTACAGTTTAATTTTCTTTGGCCTAAGTGTCGGCTCGTACTCGCAGTGAGAGTAGGACTAGTTTGGGCTTTATAAAGATTTTTTTTTTCGAATTGTGACTTTCGAGACAACTAATGGAATTTTTCCAGAACATCCAGCTTTCTTCTTTCGATGTTGCTGATGTTGTGCAATCACCACGATCACCCTAAAATAAATAATTTACTAATTTAATTACGTAAATCAGAAGACATATATATATATATACAATATATATATATATATATATATATATATATATATATATATAGCTTGCATATATATATGTATATAAGTATATGAATTAAATTTGATAGATTAATGCTTTTGTAAACTTAATAAAATATTTTCAAGTAGAACAATATTGGGGTCACAAAGGTAATAATAAAAATATTTAATCTAAATCTAATTACAGCCAAACCTTACCTCACACAAGTTCATGGTTGGTACTGCAGTGTCAGCTAAGCTTCTTTTATTGAAAGCTTGGGGTATGAAATATGATTTTTCAAAATGTTCGGAGCAAATGGTGCTAGTCCGTTTGGGTATCCAAGATTCATGGTTTCTACAAGCTACAATCCAAGTTTGTCGCCTAAAAGGATCCTTTAGAAATCTGTAAAAACAAACCAATAATAGAAAAATTTACAACTTTTTGTAATACTTTACTGTAAAAGCTAAATAAAAACTACAAACCGGTTCGGCAGGCAAACCCGCATGGTTAACTAACTTATCGATAGCTAAAGTTGTGGCGTTCATCACTATAGTGCAATACTTTCGGTTGCAGTGATACCAGTTTATTTTTATAAAAATTGCACACTTTTGCTGCGAAGTAGCAAGTTTCGATTTGACTTATTTGGCTTTTATTTTGTATAATCTTTTGATAAATACTAGATATCGATTATGTTAAATTATATAATATTCAGTATTGTGTCGAAATTGTGCTGAATATCATTAATCATCAAATCATTTAACAAAATCCACTACACATCTATATGTAGTGATTATTATTCATCACAAACTGTTTTAGTTATTAGAAAATATATTTTCGTTAATATATTTAACTTGTGTAGTAAATTATATTTATTTAAAAACAGATTATTTTTCACTTCATGAACTATGATGGCCACACTTGGTATTGGACGAAAATATTCACAAAGTACGAGTTTTAATGATAAAAGTACTTTAATATTATGTTAAAAATACTCACAGATGAAAAGTCACATTGTCCTTTTGTATACTTGATGTTTTTGATTGTTTTTTTTTTTCATGTAAATACACTGAAATTCGGCATTTTGTCGGAGCTCGATTTACTGGCACGATCACTTCGAAATGATGCACGACGCGGAGCAACTAGTTTTATATAACGAGTATGAGTCGGACTCTCGTACCTTTTACAGAGGGGTATGCCTTGCGATGCTGTCTCCTTTGGTTTAATACTCAAAGCCTGTGAAGCATCCGTTAATATTGCAGATTAACTAGGTTAAATGCCCATAATGGATCACCCGATAATCTACAGATTATCTAACAACTATGTGCATATTAACGCATTGCGCATTCTAACTGTAACGTATACACCGACACTAAAACCGATAAAACTCATAATTTAATGGCTACTTTTTAATGAAGATGATATGGTGTGAGCACTTGCGTAGCAAATGAGTTCACCTTAGTTCCAATTACACATAGCCCAACGGATTAGTAAGCTGAAGTGGCAATGGGCCGATCATATAACCGACAGGAAAAAAGATTCTTGAGTGGCAGCCCCGTATCGGTAGACATAGTGTAGTGCAACGCCCCACTAGATGGAGTGACGACTTGGTAAGACATGCAGGAAGTCGATGGATGCAGGTGGCTCAGGACCATGCTTTATGGCATTCCTTGGGGGAAGCCTATGTTCAGCAGTGGACTTGTGAAGAGCTGTAATGATGATGATAGTCCCAATTAGTGACAGCTGATACCCTCATTAGCAGCAACATAAAGTGCTCACTTTTAGTACTGCGGTCGTCCGTCTGCCAATCGTTACAATTAAGCCAAATCTTACGAGACCTATGTATAGGAGCTGTGGACCAGGACGCGGCCAGGACGAAGTATAAGAAAAAGTGCTTTATGTACTCGTTTTCTATAAAGACAAACAGTTCTAATCATACTGTCGGCAATAGATATGAAAATAAATGTATTAATGCCATCTAGTGGTATGATAGGTGTTGGCGCCATCTAGTTTATTTTATATTGTAGCGGCGCTGTCGTCGCGCCACTAGCACACCGAAACCGAACTATCACACGGAGTGTTGGCCGCTCCCCGGGCAGAACACCTTGCCCGGCGGGAGATCTCCCCTTTTCCCTTCACGGCCACAGTGGTGACCCCGACGTGATGACCACTGAATACCCCACCCATTCGCTCCCGAGCAGATATCGTCTGCAGTCTTCATATCCTGCAAGTCATCTAGCTTCACAAGGTTCATCGCAGCACTGGAATAATAATGCTTCCTGTTCCTTCAAGCTACTCTCTGCGCCATACAGTGTTCGGCACGGCTCTGAGCCTCACTGCTCGCCTCTGCTTCACGGCACTCTCGCAGATTACTTGCCTTCTTCTCGACTCACCGCAGACTACAAGGCAATCTCCTGGCACTTGCACATTCGTCGACAACTCGACTGCACTATCGACCTCCGGTCTGAGCAGGGGGGTGATGTAGCGGCGCTGTCGTCGCGCCACTAGCACACCGAAACCGAACTATCACACGGAGTGTTGGCCGCTCCCCGGGCAGAACACCTTACCCGGCGGGAGATCTCCCCTTTTCCTTTCACGGCCACAATATAATGCACATATATATATATATATATATATATATATATATATATATATATATATATATATATATATATTGCATTAGCTCATCTACAACTTGGCAAAACCTGTCTCCGGAGCGTGGAAGATCTGCGAGAACAGCGATGATAAGGTAGGCGCGCAATTCATTTTAACGAACACCCTTTCTCTTAACCAGCATCCCTTTACAGTCCAGGATCGAAGGCCACAAGCTTTGCTATTTTTTAATTCTCTCTCTCCGCAACAATAGGTGAATTTTTATAACCTTTTATTGGAGCTCCCATAACGCAAGAAAACGATTCTTTGAAATCTATCTCCTCCGTAACCCGTAGGCCAATTTACATATTTTTTTCGGCAATTATTGTAGCTCAACGCAGAAAAGGATCGTAAACAAAAAAAAATCTGAATTTGTATGAAAGATAAAAAATAACCAAAAACTAAATTTTCTATGGGAAAATGTAAAACAAAAGCGCGTGCTTTAAACTTATATTCCGCTTCGTTTATGATGCTAGCAAAAGGTTTTAATGTGTGTATATTAGTCTTTAAAAAGTAAAAGTTACAGCCTATATACGTCCCACTGCTGGGCACAGATCCCTCATTTCTGAGAGGGATTTAGGGTAAGGAAGTGTCCGCCGCGCTGCCTCAATGCGTGTTGGCGAACTTCACATGTCTTCGAAATAATTTTTTTTCCTATTTCAGACATGCAGGTTTCCTCACGATATTTTCCTTCACCGCCGAGCACGTGGTAAATCAGCACTTAAAATTGCAATTAACAATTTCATAGGTGCTGGCGGGGATCGAACCTGGTTTGCTCGCGTGTTGTGAAATTTACAGAGAGCACTAACCATCTAAGCTATGACGGCCATTACCATTCATCGTTAATGATTATGTAATAATAAAAATTATTAGCTTACCCAAGAAACGAGTTTTAATGAAACCATTACATCTGTATCAGTAATCAAACATCAACTCACCCTCCTGTCCGTACAGAGCCACCCCATGTAGCACCGAGTCGTATTTCCTCTGTGAAGCTGCATCGGCTCTGCGTACGAAAGCACGCTTCAGCTCGGTCATCTCCACCAGCAGTACTTTGCTATTGTTCTCTACATCTGGACGTGGCACCTCAGGAATTGTTGGACCTACGTTTTTTTTTATATATATAATTAAAAGTGGCATACGAGAACATAGTTCACCTGTAAGCAGATCGGATACGAAGGCCCGTTTTTTTATATTAATAACAATCCACGACGGCTTCGCAAGTGATTTCTAGATCACTGAAAACAGCGCCACCTACCGGGTCAAACTCTAGCTGAGAACTTAACTCCCCCACTCTACTCATCCACCACTTACGTTCACAAGGAGTTTTCTCCTTCGGAAATACCACCGATCGGACCATACGACCTGGGGACCCTCAAGAAAAAAGCTTACTCCTTTCTAAAGGGCCGGCAACGCACCTGCAATTCTCCTGGTGTTGCGGTTGATCATGGGCGGCGGTAGTCACCTTAACATCAGGTGAGCCACATGCTCGTTTGCCACCGGTTCTATTAAAAAAAACCACCCAGATGACCCCATAAGTACTCTTAAATTTCATCAAAATTAGTCAAGCGGTTTAGGAGTATTATGGACACACGCACACCGGAATTATATAGCAGAATAATTTATTGCGTGGATCATAGGTATTACATAGATATTAGCTATATATGATATAAAGCTCAACGATGTCCTACCGCGAAGATATTCAAAGTACAATATTTTTTTGGATATCGATTAAAGTAGGTACCTAAAAATAACTGTATCAAATATGAATGCAAAATAAACAAACCTTTAGTGGTTATAGTTCAAGGAAAAAGGTAAGCATGTTGGAAATCTAATCTTAAAAATATTGAATAATAACTATCTTCTTTTTCTTCTTTTAAATTATGGCTTCTCTTGATAGAATTCTGCCAGTGTCAAGTCAGTCATGGAAGTGACAAGATAATAATAGTTAAAATAAGAGTTCTCAATTTAATGTTAGGGTTCACAATCTACAACAAAAGATGTCACATATTTAAAATATCATCACCAAAATTGTTAAGTAATTTTACAGTTTAATATTATTAGTACGAATAAAAGCACATAAAATATTTACGAAGGGAGTATACACTAGGGTCAGCAAAAATTGGAAATTTACTGGACGAGGGATGTAATTGGGCAGGATATCGTAGAGAGAGAAAGAAAGTTTAGGACACTCAAAGATCAAAAAAGAAAGAAAAGAAAGAGGAAAGCAAATTATATAAAAATGTTAAATAATGACTATACAATATCTATATAAATAAAAATCAAGTGCCGAATGTGAAAGATCATCACTTGAGAATGGTTGGACTGATTTTGATGAAATTTTTTGTGTGTGTTTTAGTTTGTCCCTGGATGGTGTAGATACACAATTAGATCTGGTAGGTGGCGCTCGTGCCGAAATCTGAAAATCTCCCGTGCAAACTGATCGCTAGTTTTAAATATAAATAAATAGTGGCACATTTAATTGTTTATTATTCATTTAATTTAAATTATACAGGGTGTTAGTGTAAACACCGTTATCCTTGAAACCAGTGGTTTGGTTTCACTTATACAACGTAAATTCAATGAAAAATAACAACATTTTTTTTAAGTAAAATCCCAATTTTTCCTAAATTCCTCAATGTTTGCCTGTCCTAAGCCATGATGAAAATATGAAGGAAAAGTTACATCACAGGTTATATATACCTATTGTGTTTTTATTGGAGTGTTGTGTACGTAGCTAGCGCGGGCGGTGATCTTTACAGTGATTACGTCACTCGGGCGCATAGGGTATCCATCAATTTACGGACGTTCTCGGACAGAAACTTTTTAAATTTTATGAAAGAAAATAGCGTTTTTTTTAATTCATTGAATTTGCGTTCTATAAGTGAAACCAAATCACTGGTTTCAAGGATAACGGTGTTTACACTAACACTCTGTATATAAAGATAACGATGACAAGTGAGCACACGGTCCACCTGATTACCAGTGGATGCTGTGGCCTATGGATTGCACTGCATTTAAAAAACTCACCGGCAGCAACAGGAGCAGCTGCAGGCGCTGGGTAGTCCACCACGGGCAGCCACCGGGACACCTCGCCCTCACCGATCACAGCCCCAGTCTCCGCATTCTCTATCGACACCTTGCACACTTCTGTTGCCTTTGTCACTATGGTGCATTTTAGGTTGTTTCCCATCTAAAACAAATTTTAATTTTTAAAATGTAGTCAAGCTCCTTGATTGTTTCAACCACAAATAACTAGTTAGACAGGTAAACACAATGGCCAAAACAAATAAACGTGTAGTGACGGTGTCAGAATATCCACTACCACATATCGTTCCAAGGAAGTTGTAAGAGGCGACAGGAGGAAAATGTAACATGAGGTGAGCAGCAACATCTTGCTGATAACTGAAAATAATAAGAACCTGTAAGTTGTCAACCCACTTGTCAAACACAGCGACAATGGGTGCGTTTGGCAGAAAAAAGCGCTAGCAAGCGCTTACTAGCGCTAAAATAGTTTTCGGCCAGGACACGATTGTTACTTCAGTAGCGCTGACACAATCCGCCATTTTGCTTATTTAATTTATTTGTTTTGAAGTAGAGTTTATAAGTTGTTTTTTTGCAATATTTGTTTATTATTAATTTGCAATATTTGTTTATCATTGAATAGACATGTACATGTTATTAAAAATTCATGATTGGTAAGTTTTTAATATGAATACTTCACATACATATATTTAAATTAGGTTAGGTTCCCCGGTTAAAACTAACATCGTGTCCTAGAGGAAAATAGCTACTTACGATTTGACAGCGCTTACCGCTTACGATCGCCATTTTGCTTACAAGCGCTTGCTAGCGCTTTTTTCTGCCAAACGCACCCAATGGCTAAATGCCCTCATGAGGCAATCTATCAGGGAGGCCTATGTGCAGCAGTGGACTTTTGTATGATGACCCAATATTTTACACCTATGACGCTGCTGCCTGCAGCTAGTCTGCTTATTTTACTTCTAGCGTAATAGAGAGTGAGGGAATAGAGAGTGCACCTGTGCTTGCGCATACACTTGGGCACTATAATCCTGTCCTGCGCCGATGGCTAGTCTCCATAGAGTCTGGCCGCCGTGACCGAAATTCGGTCTGGAGGATATTATTATACTACTAATATAGCTGCAGCATGGCTCTACCACATACAAGTTTTTACGTGGTAGAGCCATGCTGCAGTTATATTTGTAGTAATATAATTGTAGCACGAATGTTTCGGCTCGACCGGGGAAGGACCACGCTCTCACATAATACCAATGTAAAATAGTGGCTCAATGCTGCTGTGTTTCGTATGGTGAGTGTACAGAACCGGAGACCCTTTTTACTGGAAACGAGGCATTCCACCTAAATCCTCACGGATGGCAATGCATCTGCATTTTAATATGTAATCGAGGATTGATGTAGATGTCTATGGGCCACAGCAACCACTTACCATCAGGTGGACTGTGTGCTTGTTTGTCATCCGATCCTACATAAACAAGTGGCTATGGCACTGATCTTTCAAAGACTGTAATGTATGTAATATAAGCTTAGCTACTCAAGCTAAGCTGACTTACTTGAACTTTATCACCTTCTAACAGGCAGCAGAACTCTGGGATGTTGGCATACTTCTCCGATAGCCGTTTCAAGTTGTCCTTTGGTGTAAGGGTGACCAGCTTGCTGCTGTCAATCAATGCAGCCAGGGTTGGGTTGAGGCATCTCGCTCTGTACCAGGCACCTTCTTCTGGATTGAGGTAGGAGAATGTCTCACCAGGGTTCGGTCTGAAATTGCAAAATAACAAACATTTTTTTTTAATTTAAGCACTATTTGTTTGTTGTTTGTTCACATTCTAAGCCTGAATATCAAAGAATGTTCAAACCACATTAGCTGAAAACCTACTCACAACATAACACTAGGTGTTAAGATGTGTGCACTGCTGTTTCTGGTCTGGTGTGTGTGTAAAAAATTTGTATAATTATAGGTACAGACAATGCGGCATTCCATCTTAGGCCGGTTTCAGAGCTCGACCGGCCGTCGGTGCGTACGTCGGTCGCGCTTGCCATTTGTATGAAAATTCACAAGTCGTTACAGTGCTCGACCGACCGTACGCACGCGTATATAGCTACGCACTGCGTACGAGGACCGTCGGTCGAGCGCGTCCGCATGCGGACCGTCGGTCGACCGACGCGCTATGGAAACATATTGACGCGTTCAGTGCTACACCGACCGTACGGATGCGTGTATCATCGTCAAGAAAATTGAACCTAAACTTCAATAATATTGTATGATTTTATAGGTATTAAATAGTGTTAGTGATTTAAGTAATTTTTATCAAACATGGCATATATAGACATCGAACGCCTAATTACCGAAGTTCGTCTTCGCGAACTTCTGTGGGACAAAAGCCAAGTGTTACATAAAGACCGTGATGTCAAGTTAAAGGCCTGGAAAGAAGTTTGTACAGCTTTGTTCCCTAACTTCTATGGGTTTACGTGATATCTACGTCTTCTGTTCTTTATACGTTTACGTACATAGCAAGCAGCAACTAAACAATTTGTAAACGCGTCCATTTCGTGTACGTGTTTGTGACTGTACCAGTTCGGCTAGTTTAGTTGCTCATGAGAGCTCTGAACGGTACAAACTGACGTTCGGTTATGTCGCCTCTACACGTTGGCCAACACAGTGGCGAATGTAGTGGCCAATAGCATTGGCGAACGTGTAGACGGGGTGTTTGGGCTTCATTGGTATGTATTGGAACGATGGCCCGCAAGTTGGCGCGAGATCCGTGTGGTGTCGGTTTTTTACAAAAGATCAAAGGATTGTTGGCAGAGTTTGGTCGCCGCGTCCACACTTTGGCCGCGAGTTTAGTTTGCTACAAGCTCCCAGAGTGATTACACGCATCTGATTAAAATTTTATATTCACGCTTTGTAGGGTGGATGACCCAATTACCAGCCTTTTAGTGCCAATTTCCACTTTAAACATTCCTACTACTTTAATTCGCGCGATTTAATTATTTTTAAACATTTGTTTTAATCGATAAGCTATTTATAAAAAAAAATAATGAACATTTATTTGCAATCAGATTATAACGAGAACAATTTTAAAATAAAAATAAAAGAAGCACGTCGTTTATACGTGGTAGAACCATGCAGTTATATTAGCAGTATAGTTGTAGCACGAATGGGTCGGTTCGACCGGGGAAGGACCACGCTCTCACAGAATATCAATGTAAAATAGTAACTTAATGATGCTGTGTTTCGTATAGTGAGTGTAGAGAACCAGAGACACTTTTTAAAGGAAAAGAGGCATTTCATCTTAGTCCTCACGGGTGACAACGCATCTGCATTTTGATTCGTAATCGAAGATAGTTGTAGATGTCTGTGGGCCGCAGAAACCACTTACCATCAGGTGAACTGTGTGCTCGTTTGTCACCCTATCCTATATAAAAAAAGCTTCGATTTCTTATAATTTAATCGTGCAAGTTTTCGAATCATCATCATCATTACAGCTCTTCACAAGTCCACTACTGAACATCCTCCTCCACATACTGCCGCAAAGCATGGTCCTGAGCCACTTTGCTCGTCATGAGTTTTTCATTTATGTTCTAAGTTATAATTAGTACCTATTATTAAGTCAGTGTTAATTATATTTATTGCTATTGTTTTTGTCTTTCTCAAAAAATAATTAAATTACCAAATAAATCATATGGTGTTTTTTATATACATCAAATGTCTGATAGAAATGCAAGTAGGTACATATTTTGCTAAACTTTAAAATCAAAACCCAATTTTAAAACATAGACTAATCGATTATAACTTCTTTAACTTTAAAATAAGTTAAGTTCTTATTAATGGTATTTATTCCAGTTTATGATGCATGTAAAAAATAAATAAAGCTAATTGTATATCGTATATCTATTTACAGCCCCATTAATAACCACTATTATTTTATAATTCTTTTATAAAAACGTTAACCCCACACTAGGATTTTCTCCCGTATCGCGCAGGCAGTTTACAAACATAAATTGCACAAGGACACACATCCAGACCCGAAACAATTATTTGTAGGACATACAAATACTTGTTCCGTGCGGGATCAAACCCGCGGCGCACGACGCAGCCACTCATAGCTGAGCCCCTGCGCCACGGTGCTTATAAATTCGTCCGCACATTGGCCCGAACCGAAGTAAACTGAACGACCTTCCAACGTGTGGACGCCGTCACCAACTCTCGGCCAATATATTCGGCACTCCATTCGCCACTGTGTTGGCCAACGTGTAGAGGCGACATTATGCGTATCGTCAGGACCGATGGTACGCACCGACGGTCGGTCGAGCTCTAAAACCGGCCTTAGTTCCCAGAGGTAACAACTTGTTATTCTGATGTCCTTGGTCTGCAGTAGTCATAGACGTTACCAGATTTTTATGATAACCGTTACATAACCAATATGAACTTATCATATAAATATGAAAAACCGATTCTAGATATTAATGTAAATCACAATTTAATTAACGTTTCAACTGTAGCAATCGACTGAAGTTTGAATGTTCAAAACAAAACTAATTTTTAAGAAATCAGCACGCGTAATTATTTACGCAAAATGCACCTCGTAAGTCAAGTTTTTGTAAAATATTTACTTTAGACTTTACTATGTTACAATAAAGTTTAAAAAAATAACTTAACGTTCCGTAATTTGTATTTAGGTTGGCAATCAAACAACTAAACAGCTAATGACAAATGCGGCCGAGTCCGACAGATATTCGCTCCGTGTCGTTTTTACAATTGGCAGCTAATAGATACCGCATCATGGAATATTTGTTCTGTTTCGATTTCACCAAATTTCGAGTTGCGGGGGACGTGTCAAAAGCGCTGCGATTGGATAATTCAAGGTTAATAAACTTAGAATGCTTCGAATCATAGTGATGGGACAGGTTTGGGACGTTGATCGATAAATTTGGGATTTATTGATAAATAAATGAATTGATCAATTTTTATTTGAAATTTATTAAAAAATAAAACAGTGTATATAAATAAAAGATATATATATATATATATATATATATATATATATATATATATATATATATATATATATATATATATATATATATATGTACACTACACATTGAATAAAACTATATATTTATATGGATTTTATGATGTTTAATTAACTTGTGGTCACGGGGGGAGGGGGAGGGGGAGAGAACTGAGATGTTTGACATCTCAATATCATAGTTAGCCCAGCTATCTTCAGTTTTTGAATATTGATTTTTGGTCCCGATCTACATTAAACGAGCTTACAGTATCTTGAAGTCTTGCAGTGGTATGCTTGGTTTTGGATAGATTTTGTCAATTATAGGATCCCACGCAGATGGCAGCACCCATCCACCGACTGTAGCCGACTTCACTCGGTCGCTGTGACGTAGGCTTGGGACCCAAAACTTGTTGTCTTGCAATACTTGCTTGACATGCTGAAGCTCGGCGGTCAGATGTATTCTGTCACAGATCCCCTGTGATCTCTGAAACAAATATTTACCCACAGTAGCAAACTATGAAGAATGATGGTGAGATTCACCATTTAAATATCGGTTGGTATAGGCCTTTTTCCTATACACAGTGTGACCAATAGTGTTATCAGGATTTCGGATGACTAAAACATCTAGGAAAGCTAAAGTTTTATTTGCTTCTTACTCCATCGTGATTTATATTTTGAAGCTTATTGAGTTAAGGTGGTCTAAAAATGCAGTTGCTTTGTCAGACGGTAAAATTTTGAAAGTGTCGTCTACGTACCGCTTGTAGAATCTTGGATTTATAGGAGCAGTAGGAAGGGTTTCTCCTCAAAGTCCCCCATGATATATGTCGGCGACTATAGGAAATACAGGTGAGCCCATCGCCACACCATCAACTTGCTTGTAGAACTCTTCCTTCTACAATAGATAGCCAGATGTAAAGCAGTGTTTGAGTAATACTGCATATTCTGCAGGCATGTTGTTATCTTGTAGCTTCCTAGTTACAATTGAGATGCAGTCTTTAATAGGTAGGCATGTGAATAGTGACTGAACACCAAAACTGACCATAGTTCATTGTCAGCGAGATGTAGGTCTTTTATCTCACTAACAAAATGGTGTGAATCCTTTGTGTGTGTTCCGGTATGTCCTTTCGGTGGTGACAGAAATTTTTGCATAGTGTTGCACCTAAAGTAGTATTATTAATTAAAAAACCATATGGTACGTGTTTCAAATTTAGATGTACTTAATATTAATAATAATAATAGGATATTACTGAAGTTCATGTAACACTAGCATAACATTAATCACATTATAACTTTCACTTGTTCTATGATTTATAAATCCGTTAAAAATAGTTTAATTTCGACGTGTAACATTCGCCTAAATATTAGAATATCACGTTTCAATCAACCACTTAATGCTATTACTTATTGTGTAATCACCATTGGTATTATACTTTAAAATGTAAAAGTCCATACTAAAAGCAAGTATAGAGATGGTATAGCGGAATCCAACAGCCTTCTACGGTTTTTCGTAATATGAAGATTGTCTTCTGTGGAGTGTCTTGAGCCTAGCACACTATTTTTGGTGGGAAACCAATGGTCCCCTCGACATGTAGCTTCGACCCACATTTCTTCCTTTCGGGGCATTTAGGAAACCTATAACATATAGGTAGCACAATTATACGCCACTATTTGTATAAAATGATGACTACAAAAAAAAAGTAAACGATGACCAAACAAATATCGACTCATAAATCACAACACTATCGATGCACATGCTGTCGTTAGACAAAGACAACTATTTTAATTTACGTAATGAGTGAAAGGGACATTTCAAAAAGACATCAACGGGTGCTCAAATGATATCACTTTGCAACATTATATATCCAGTGTAAGTTGAACTCCGGTGCATTTGAAATAGGTTAACGTGATAAGAATAAAATTTACTTACCGATGAAATATTATGCCATCTTTTTGATAACTGGATGTCTTAACTGACTTGCTACACATTTCACTGCATAGGAAGCCATTTGTAATGTATTTTGGATACCAAAATTATTTTTAAATTTTCAAAAACTCGGACGTGTCTACGGGTCACAAATTTGGACGACAATGATATCGTGATTCTTAGCGTCACTTCATATGCTAGATACAGCAAGTATGTGTTGCGCGCGTTTGTGGCCCCGTATGCGGAATCTATTAGGAGGTAATCTGTGTGGCAGCGTTATCAGTTGGGCAGAGAGGCGACGAAAATCTAGTAAATGTAATACTTACGTTGCTTCGTCACGTAACGGAATGGATATGATTTTACGTTATGAGAAGTTACGTTAGTCGTTAGCTGTGTTGCGTTTGAATTCACCGCGATTGAGCGTTATTGTAAAAACCATTTTCTTTGAGCAGCATGTCGATACGATATATTATGTTGTTACCGTTGTTAATTACGTTTTGATGTATCGGACTCATGCCTAGTATGCAGGTAAAATGTTAGTTTTCTTGTTACTTCGAAATTGTAAGAAAACAAGATTATAACACCATCTACCGAATGCCATGAGAACTTTACCACCATTTCCAACAATCGCCTTTTCCCATATAATACTATAATACGTACATAATAGAACAGGGGAGTGGGCGGAGCCCGTGTAGCCACTAAAATGTCACCAACACGTCAATTCCCACGTATAAATGTCAACACAAGATGTGTTTTGACGTTACAATCGTGTCCAAATTTCCCATGACATTTTTTATATAATGCCTAATTGCACGCTATTTACAAATAAATATGTATTAAAATCCGTCTGTCAACACAGTGAATTGGGTTTGTAGTAGTGATTAACTGATAATACGACGTAATTGCTTGTATGTGTGCTCCCGGCGACGTCTATCCTCGTACAAAATAAGGATGATAGCCATTCTATTGTGTATTATAGTATTCTATACCTTTTTCAGTACCCACAGAACAATATGAGGTTATTCATATAACATCCATCCATCCATTACAGCTCCACCAAAAATTTCCTATTAGGTAAAGATGGTTAATATATCTTTTAACTGTTAAAATAAACAGTTACAAAAAATTTACAAATTTATTGAATAAATAAAATTAATCTTATTGAATAAAATTATCCAGTCACAGCCGTGTTTGTGCCATCTAGCATAATCTTTGCGTACCACCTTGAGTGTGAATCAATTTTCGTTCGACTCGAAATGACTTCATCTATAGAATGTAATAGATGGCGCTATTAAAATTTTATATACTGATGAAATGAACGAAATATTCTTCAAAAACATCAATACATGTATTCTTTTGATATAGTACCCACATTAAAATTTAGGCTTCACATAAAAAAAGGATTGTAACAATTATTTGTTATAAAATTAAACTTATATCTAATTGTGGTTGAAAATTATCATATTAAGTCATTTGAAGTGATATTTTTATTAAACCGTACAAACTGATATTTTTAACGCATAAATAGGTAATGCTATTGGCTGAATATGTTAGTGATGTTAATTTTCTGTATTTTGTTGTATATTGGTTGAAATATTGTTCGATGTTAATTTAAACTGTTAAAACGAAGCGCGTCAGTTTATTATAATTTTATTTAGAGTTTATTTCTCCAGTAGGAGTAATAGTATACTGTGGTTTACTTTTTTATCAAAATATTACAAAAGTGTATTAAAAGCTGTAAAAATAAATACTAGGCAAGTTAATTCAGATTCAGTGAAATTAGTGTTTACTTATATTATTTAGTATTAGTTAGTGTAGTGTACAAAAATATAGGATTTTAGTTAGAGTTTAATTTTCACCTTTTATCATGCCGAGACTGTGGGACCATCTTGAAAAATTTGTTTTTTTTTTTACATTTAGTAAATTCTAAATACCTAATAATCATTGTAAATAATAAACAATGTACTATCATAAATCATAATATAATGTAAGTATTAAATTAATAAACCTTACGCCTTGCTTAATTGGACTTTAATAATAATATGACGAAATGTTTATTGAATTAAAATTTCATGCGTAAAATTTAAGCAATAAAATTAACACATCCGATTAAAAATAGAAATTCGCTACAAAAGAAGTAATATTTTAACGGTTAATTTTATCTGTTAAAAAATTAACAAATAACTTTTAACAAATAAATAAATTTAACTATTAACGCCATGTCTACTATTGTGTGTATACTATTGTATACTGTTGTATAGTCGAGTCGCGTTTCTACTGCCGGTCAGTGCAGTCGCTTCATAATTATGTGGCGGCTCTAATGCCGAACCTACAATATTTTCGTAGCGTAAGCATACCAACTGCGCGAAAATAATTCGAAATGGCGTGTCAACCTAAACGATCCGATACCGTCGTAGTGAACGAGTTCCTGGCCTTTGTTCAACAAAAATTGGACGTCATGGACCAGGTGTCCCTGGAGCAGATACTGATGACCAGCTTCACCGAGGACAAGATCATCCAAGCGGAGAAGGCGTTAGCAGATTCAGCCGTGACCCAAATCCGTCCGAGGACGCGGTAAGAAAGACCTGCAAGACATCTTCAGACTGTTCAATGAGACTGATCCTGATGACATCTCAACTTTCGTCGCGCGGGATCTCAACAAGCTGCCTCCCGTGACGTTCGATCATGTAGACGTGACCAGATTGTTGAAAGACATCACCACGTTGAAAGCCGAAGTCACCGACCTCCGTTTCAAATTTGAAGAATTGGAACGAGCCGCAACAGAGCTGAAGAACGAAGTCACTATGTTGCGCAACATAATTGCAACATCTGCGAATTCACCGCCGTCGCAGAATGTAAATACGACACGCGGTAATCGTAATAGTAGTCATATTTCACCGATGATTGCGACTCCATCACGCGATATCGTCTGTCAGCGGGTTGATGACCACGAAACTAGGGCGACCTCGGTCGTCATTGCATCACCACCTCAGCCCTTGACTGAACCCTTGAGTACTCCTCCGCCGAAGCCAACCTGTCAACAAGGATTCCTTGTTCCGTTTGCGGATGTTGCTCGAAAATCTTCGCAACCCTCATGTGGTCTAAAACAAAATAATGTGGATGTAAAATCAGTTCCTGTGGTGACCCAAACCAAGAGAGAGAATGACGGGTTTACTCTTGTTGAGAAGAAACGTCGGTCGAGACCCGTCTGTAACCAGCGTGGGACCGCCAAAATAAACGCAAGTACAACTCTGCGTATTGTGGAGCCCACCATACAGCTCTACATCTCCCGTTTGGACAAAAGTACGTCGGGAGAAGACGTCCTGCGTTTCGTGGAAGAACGAAGCCTAGATGATCCGATCTCTTTACATTTGCACGAACCACGGTCCACGAACTTCAAATCCTACGTACTCCAGTTTCCTGCAAAATACAAAGAGACATTCCTTGCTCCCGATTTCTGGCCCTCTGGGGTAGTGTTTCGCCGATACTCGGACGCGCCAAAGAAGAAAGTTCCCTAAATAGTGTTATATTTATATTTTATATATATTTTTAGGTTAAGGTATATATTGCTATGGGCCAATGTTCTTAATTTTTAAGTCCTTGATGCCTGAAATAAAGTTATTGTATTGTATTGTATAGTGGCCATGCTTGACAAGAGAGTTGGCAACCACAGTTTTTTTAATTTTTAGCTGTATTAGAAAGACATTGATGTTTATCTCCTAGTTTGTTTCAGTGTAAGTATGGAGTTATTAAATGATTGATTTTTTTTCACTCACGTATATTTTGCAGTATCCGCTTCACAATCCGCAGTGTAATCGTCGCATAGAGCCTGGTATTCACTCTCGTAATTTTCGTGCAGCGACAGACAGACAAACCCACGGCTCTTAGATTTGCACTCAGATGCCTTATTGTCCACCGATAGCATCACTATATCACCAGTTGAAAGTAGATCTATGACACATCTGCAAAAAAATAGTATAGTACAGTTGCATTCTATATATGTCCCTCTCCCGGGCCTTCTCTTATATCTAAAGGTTTTAGGTCAAGGAAGCGTCCACTGTGTTGCCCCAATGTGTGTTGGCAGGCTTCACATGTCTTCGATTTCTCAGACATGCATGTTTCGTCACGAGATTTTCTTCACCGCCCAGACAATGGCTAAATCGGAACTTGAAATACAATAATTTTATTGATGCTAGATCTATGAGCTAGGATTTGTACCCGGGTTGTTCGCGCACTGTGAAATTTACATTGGGTGCTTACACCTACCTGAACTGACACAAAAATAAAATAGTTATATTAACACGTCATAAAATTAAAAAATTTTTACAACCAACTTCAATATAAACAAAATGAAATCATCATCAATGTACGCGAAACACTTGAAAAAACTATTATTTACGGATTTTATCGGTAATTACTAATTTAAAATCACGTTCATGGTTTTTGATTAAAGTAATTAAACGCGAAAAATCCGTAAATACTAGTTTTATTTAAAAGAATGATCATCAATGTAAACTTATGGTACATATATTATGGTAGCTCAGATGGTTAACGCTCGCTATAAATATAACAGAACGCGAGTAACCCGGCTTCGATCCCCGCCGGCACCAATAAAATTGTTAATTGCAATTATAAGTGCTGATTTATGTGCTGATGAAGGAAAACATCGTGATTAAACCTGCATGTCTGAGGAATAAGGAAAAAGAAACATTTCGAAGACATGTGAAGTTCGTCAACACGCATTGGGCAGCGCGGCGGACACTTCCTTGCCCTAAAACCCTCTCAGAAATGAGGAGAGAGGCCTGTACCGAGCAGTGGGGCGTATATAGACTGTAACCTTTTTTTAACGTTAGAAGCACCAGCTTTCAAACAAAAAAGAATCATCAAAATCGGTTAATCTAGAAAAAAGTTCTGAGGAAAAACACATAAAAAATACAATCAAATTGAATCCTCCTTTTTGATGTCGGTTAACAACAAATTTTTCACTATAAGACAGAAGATAAAAAAGTCTCTTGATTCATGTCGATACTAATGATCGCAAGCTGTCGCACAGGCACTAATTGCTGGTATTGCAAACAACATTCTGCCTGTCAAGCCTAGTGATTAGGGCATATTCCATACTATAGGATAGGCCAATGGCCTGCAGTTAGGTGCCTGTCTACTAAGTCTTTTAACTAAAGAATAGTGTTTAACCAAGATGTCATTCTGCAATTATTAACGCTATAGAAAACTAAAAAACAACATTTAGATATGTCATACGTGGTAGAGCCACACTGCAGCTATATTATAGTTGTAGCTTAAATGGGTCGGCCCAACCAGGGAAGGACCATGCTCTCACAGAATACGACACGAGCAGCTTAATACTATTTTTTTAGTCCTCAGGGGTGACAACGCATGTGCGTTTTGATTCTTAATCCACAGCGTCCACTTACCATCATGGACTAATTCTATTAAAAAATTCTCAATCAATTTAAAGTAACCTTTGTAAGTTAAGTCATCTTTTCTTATATTTACGCGAACACTACACATTGAAATAATACTAGTTTTTACGGAATTTATCGCGTATATTTAACTTTTTAATTACCCGACGTTTCGAACGCTTTACAGCACAGTAATAATGCAGTATACTGCATAGATCGGAACAAAAGTTAAATTTTAATCTATGGTAACCGCGGTTAACTATGACATATGGACGTTGAACATCTCAGTCCTGCCCGTAACCATGAGTGCTGTAAAACATTCGAAACGTCGGGTAATTAAAAAGTTAAATATACGCGATAAATTCCGTAAAAACTAGTATTATTTCAATGTTAAGTCATCTTTGCTAACCCCGTAGAACAGAATATACAAGGTAATTATACAAGGTGACGGCGAAAGATAATCCGTCACTCTATTTCGCCCCTTGGGTGTCGTAAGAGGAACCTACACACACTACCGCTAATCAAAGTACACTGCTGAAGATTGGTCTCTTAGACTTGACCTTCATTGGACGGATATACGCCAAAGTTGTTGCAACTTGACAGGCGTGTGACAACTGCAGCTTTTTTTATTGTTATTAAGACTTTTTCCCTTCCCTTATTAAGATTTGTTTCCCTTCGTTGCTTCCATAAGGGTAATATTTGCCAAGGTTGTCCCACGCTAGACAAGGGTGTTGGCAACTGCAGTTTTAAATTTTTCAGTTGTTATTAGGAAGACGCTGTTGCTCATCTCTCGGTTTCTCTCTGTCACAGCCTATGACACCCACGGGATGATATGGGGTAGTGGACATTCCCACACGGCCACACGGTCTGTCATCATAAGAGACGACTATGGGAAATTATATAAAATCTAATGACTTTCAATAGATGACAGTGCAGCCTTCTCGTTTGCGTCAGACGTATAAATATCCAGACCAGGGACAGGAAACAGTGGCAAAGGTGCGGGACGTATTGCGCATCTACTCGCAAAGCATGGGGGTTAAGGAAAACCCTCCCTACAGTGGGAAAGGTCAATTTCTAGCAGTTAAGTTTTACATACATATAACGATTTCTTATATTTACGCAAACACTACACATTAAATAAAACTATTTATGGGGATTTTATTTATAACTATTTACATGCGTTTAATAACATGGACAAAACAAATATCATGTGTAATGTTCATGCCACACCTATGCCGGTAGTTGTTGAGAGTACTAAGCTCAAAGTTGTTGACGAGTATGTTTACCTGGGACAAATAGTCCAACTAGGTAAGTCTAACTTCAACAGATTCAACTCTGCTGGGCAGTGTTCAGGAAATTACGACACATCTTCTCGTCAGGTATACCTCAAAACCTGAAAACTAGATTGTACAACCAGTGTGTGTTGCCAGTGATGACTTACGGATCTGACACGTGGTCCTTCGCTGATGGCTGTATGAGGACGCAAAGGTCGTTCAGCGAGCTATGGAGAGTGTTATGCTAGGAGTTTCTCTGCGTGATAAACTTAGAAATGAAGATACCCACAGTAGAACCAGAGTAACCGACATAGCCCAACAGATTAGTAATCTGAAGTGGCAATGTGCCAGCCATATAGCTCGAAAAAACGACAACCGATAGGGAAAAAGGTTCTCGAATGGCAGCCTCGTACCGGTAGGCGTAGTGTAGGACGACCCCCTACAAGATGGATTGACGACCTGGTAAGACATGCAGGAAGGTGGCTCAGGACCGTGCTTTGTGGCATTCTTTCATTCTTTGATGATGATGATGATTATATTGCGTTTAATTAATTTATTTTAAATTCCCGACGTTGACCATGGGTGACGATGTGGTAAAAAGCACCCGAAACGTCGGAAATTAAAAATATGTTAAGTAAACGCGATAAAATCCGTGTAAATAGTTTTATTCAATTTTACATACATACTTTTATTATAGGATACATACTTTTTGGGCACAATTTTTCTTGCAGGAGTAACATCGTCCAACGTAGCAGGTTTCACGATTTTCTTGGTGTCTTTGCTTTTCTCGGGCTCAACCGCCTTAACTTCTGCGGCAGCTGGCTTAACTTCCGATGAAGCCTGTTTATCTGCCTGTGAATTTTGTTTAACTGGGCTTTGTTTCACTGGTGATTGGTTGACAGCTGTTGGTGATTGTTTCTTGGGTTCTGCTTGTTCTGGTTGCTGTTCTGTTCAGAAGAAAAGAAATATAGGAATTGAATCAAATCAAGTTTAGGGAAGTGAGGGGCAGAGGATTACATAAAATTCACAAGTGGTAGAGCCATGCTGCACCTATATTACGGTTGTAGCAGAAATAAGTAGGCTCGACAGTGGTAGAACCACACTCTCACTGAATACCAGCGCAAAATAGCAGCTTAATTACGACGATAACGAGGGATTTAATCATAGGCCCCAAGGGTGATTACTGGATGACCTTTTTTAACGTCTGGAAAAAAATAGTGTGTAAAATGTGAAAGGAGTAGACTATAGAGTAGCCTATGGAACTGATATTTTACCAAAAAAAATTTTTGAACTAAATAAATAAATAAATTAAAATCTATTGAAATTCAAATCATATCTACCCGGCAATAAAACAATAAATTTAGGCAAATTATTATATAAATGGTAAACAGAATATCTTTCCAAATTTATGAGGTATTCTATCTTAATTCTGGGAGGTCACAACGCACTTGTAGTCTTCTACGTTTAAAGTTGGTAGCCGGTATGGGTTAACTATGAAGCTTATTAGCTGCTTATTAGATTTCTATGAAGAAGTTTAGCATTATAAAATCTATACAAAATTCTCTATCTTGTGGTCTAAACAAAAGTCAGGTTTTACTTCATAACAAAAATACTATTGGATTTTGATTACAAAAAAAACATACCAAGCGAATGTCGGCAGCGTGAAAATCACAATTATTTCAATATATATTACTCGAAATTATTTAAGTAGAAAGATAATTTATATTCACACAAAAACTTTCATTACAATTTTATAATAAAAAACTAATAAAATACTAGTAAAATCCAAAAATCAACACAATAACATTCACGCGAAAATGGCGTACGAAATGAATGTAGATTATAAATAAATATTCATAGGATAACAGTTTTTTTATTGCACTAGAGGATAGAGTATTTCATATTGATTATATAATGCCAAACTTCTTCATAGAAAAGTAGTCTCTATACATAAGTTTATTAGGGTTACAGCACTTTGCTGTGGGTGGGTGCGACAGACTCATGAGACCGCTAGGGGGTTGAGAGGTTAAATGAAATGAAAAGAGGTCATTTAATTTCTGTAGTCTTCTACGTCTAAAGTTGACTGCCGGCACTTTAAAATACAGTTGGGAAACGAATGTACTTGTGCAGAGCAATGGTGGGACAGTGCGGGGCAGGGGGCGGCACGACCTTGTGCTAGCGCATTTCACTGAGTCTGAGAGACAATACACAGATTGGCGCGAGCGTGATTTATAGTACTTATTTAACTAATTTTAAGTGTCATTTTCGAAAAATATAATATCTATAATGGTGAATTACTGTTATAGTTATACGATGTTATTAAGTAAAATTTTATTCAAATGACGGCCATGCTTGTTTCTCTCCTTTTTTGATACAGTTATTTATCCGAATATAAATAAACTTCATAATTAAATTTAACAATCAAAAACTGAAAACATCTATAAAAAAAAAAAAATTGTCACGAAAATATATAAATAGTATAGTAGGTAGTAATAAAAAATTATCTTGTTCAATAATTTTTTAACTTAAAATTATGTACATAATGAGTGTGTTTAGCAGCAAAAAGCACTTGTAAGCAAAATGGTGAAATTATACAGTTTTCAGCCAGGACACATTTGCTAACTTCCGTAGCGCTGACACAATCCGCCATTTTGCTTATTTAATTTGTTTGTTTTGAAGTAGAGTTTATAGGTTGTTTTGTGCAATTAGTTTCAAGTAATATAATGACATGAATAAACATATTAAACATGTTATTAAAATTCATGATTGGTAAGTGTTTAATATGAATAATTTATAAACATATATTTAAATTAGTTTAGGTTCCCCGGTTAAAGCTAACTTAGTGTCGTAGAGGAAAACAGCTATTTACCATTTGAGAGCGCTTACCGCTTACGATCGCCATTTTGCTTACAAGCGCTTCCTAGCGCTTTTTTCTGCCAAACACAGCCATTATTAATAGATGATGAGTATTACAAAAATTCAAATTCAGTTTAGTTCTATTTTCGCGACAGCCCCTAGCATACACACTGGGCGTGTCAACACTTATACAGGCGGCGGCATCGCCTCACATCAAAGGCGTTTCACAACTGTAAGGTCTAACCAATGCTGTCGGCGCCAGTTACCATCAGTGGACTGTAAGCTTGTTTGTCACTTCACTTTTATAAAAAAAAAGTTAGTGCTATAAGCTTATTTAACTTTATTTTGACAAACTTACTTCCACTAATATCCCATTCCTCTTCTGCTGTCTCAGTGGCTTGCTGCGTCTGTGGTTTCCTGGTGGAGGTGTTATACTGCGCCCGGCTGTGTTGAGGTCTGTTGTCCTGGGACCTGCTGTCTTGAGATTTGTTATCCCGGGGCCTGTTGCCCCTGTTGTTGAAACCCTGTCTACCTCGGTTGCTGTTGTGTTGGCCGGATCTAGCGTTCGTACCAGGTGGGAAGAATCTCTGAAAATTTCATTGTTACGTACAATGCAAGTTTGAATGCCAATTCCGATAAATTGGCCCATTCGCCATCTTCATTTACTTCTCTCTTTTATGGTTTTTTAACACTCACGAAGGAAGAAAAAAAGAAAATATAAAACTGGGAAGAACAGCAAGAACACCCCCAAAAAGAAGGGGTAATACACTGACATTGTACAAGTTTATTCATTAAAATGCTATTTGCAAAATCAAAAGTCCACAGTGGCTATTTCAGCTAAAGGACACGTTCAAGGTTAAAAGAAGCCTCATTCATAAGTTAATTACACCCTATCAAAAGACCATTACTGAACACAGACCTCCCTCATATATTGCCTTATAGGGGGGATGCTTGCCATCGTTATTATGCTTGGTAACCTACCAACATAACAGGCCCACCTGGGCTGGCCAACTGAAAGTCGAAATCAGGGGGGGGGGGTATTTATCAGCAAGATACTGTTACCCATGTCCTGGTGGCTATGGGGTAGTGAATTCTCTTATGCGGCCAGTACATGACGCACACATATGAACTTAATTCTATGTTCTTGGGTGCATATGTATGCGTGAGTGCGTGTTCTCATAAATTGAGCATGATTGTTCGCTTAAAATGTAAGTAGTATTCTATATACCTTTCTTTGTCAGCCTGAGGTTTTTATATAATGATTTTTTATATTTACGCGAAAACTACACGTTGATTAAAACTACTTTTACGGATTTTATCGCGTTTAATAGATTTGATTTTTAATTCCCAACATTTCGGGTGCTTCCCAGGACCCATGGTCACGGGGACTGAGGTGACTGACGTCCCGATGTCAATGTTAACATGGAGTACCTTCAGCTTTTTAATTATTATTTATGGTCCGATCTACGCAAAATCAACTTACTGTGTCTTGAATTCTTGCAGTGGTATGCTTGGGTTTAGTTCTAATTTTATTAATTATAGGGTCCCAAGCAGGTGGTAGTTCCCAGCCTCCTTCTCTATTGAAATTAGATGTTTTTTTTAAATTTCAATAGCCTCACGTATCATCCATCCTTGGTAGGGATCGATGGTCTTTCGCGAGGATTTGTGGTCTATCAAATCTGATGTAATGATTGGGGCCGTCTAGCGTATGATTCACATACTGCAGACTTCCCGGAATGTTGATGCTTAGGTTTAGTTTTCATTTTATTTATTACAGGATCCCAAACATATACAGAGCAAACAAAAAGATCAATTGGAACCCGCGTAAAACATCATATAGCTGACGTGAAGCATCATAAAGTTTGTAATCATATCCTAGACGGCCCCAACCATTATATAATTTTTTATAGACCAAAATTCATCAAAAAACATCCTAATTTCAATAGAGAAGGAGGCTGGTTTACTACCACTTGCTTGGGATATTGTAATAAAATTAAAACTAAACTAGCATACCACTGCAAGACTTCAAGACACAACAAGTTAGTTCATTCTGCGTAGATCGGACCATAAATAATAATTAAAAAGCTGAAGGTACTCCGGGTTAACATTGACATTGGGACGTCAGTCACCTCAGTTCCCCGTGACCATGGGCGCCGGAAGGCACCCGAAACGTCGGGAATTAAAATTCAAATAAATTAATCGCGATAAAATCCGTAAAAGTAGTTTTAATTAATTATAATTTTTTTATATTTAGGGTGGCAAATCATACATAAACCCGCCCGTTAGTATGTGGCAACTGCACCCAACTTCAAAGAAGGTCACAAATGGACTCTCAACCCTGAGGATTAAGATAGAATGTCCAATAGCCTGCATTTATTATATTTTTAACGTGGTAGAGCCATGCTGCAGTTATATTAGTAGTATAGTTGTAGCACGAATGGGTCGGCTCGACCGGGGTGGGACCACGCTCTCACAGAATACCAGCGTCAAATAGTATCATCTTAATGCTGCTGTGTTTCGTATAATGAGTGTAGAGAACCGGAGACCATTTTTACTGGAAACGAGGCATTCCATCTTAGTCTTCACGGGTGACAACGCATCTGCGTTTTGATTCGTAATCGAGGATAGATGTACTTAGTCTATGGGCCGCAGCAACCACTTACCATCATGTGGACTGTGTGCTCCTATAAAAAAAATATACAGATTCGCTTACTGTTCAAACTGAAACACAACTGTGAGTTTTTTTTAATTTAACTAATGTAAAAAAAAAACAAATTGGAGTCCACTTGATGGTAAATGGCTACTACAGCTCATGAACACCTGTAACTAATTTCAAATAAAGACCACAGAAGTGTGCTCACCTCGGGAAATCAAGAAATAGACTGCCTCACAGCCATAGAATACTATAATACATACATAATAGATTGGCGAAGTGGGCGGAGCCCGTGTAGCCACTAACATGTTACATGTCACTAACACGTCAATTCATACGTATAAATATCAACACAATCAATCGTTTCCAATTTTCGTGTCAAGCGCCGCTGCATGCAAATTAGCAGGAGACATATTCTATACAAAAAAAAGGAAAAAGGGCGACCACGGAAACCTTTTAACCAGTAAGTCGAAACTATTTATATTTTGTAAAAATTAGAAACGAAAATAAAGAAACATTTATGTGTCAAAAACATTAATCAAAAGTCTAAGGCCCGCCGCTGATTGCAATTTTTTGTCACCGTGATTTATTATTACTGTCACTGCTGTCACCAAAAAACGGAAAAAACGCTACTGGGTGCATCCTATATACACGGAAAGATTATTTAAAGGAAAATTCTACACTATATATTCTGAATTACGTCAGTATCCACCAAAGTTTTTTAATTATCTTCGTATGTATATAAACTCTTTTGATGAGTTGCTGGCTTTGCAAAGCTATTCCAGCAGAAGAAAGGTTAACGGTAACTTTGAGGTAAGTAACAAAAACTACATCAACTACTTAATTAAACAAAAAATCTTTATTAATCAGAGCCATATAAAATTGCAATATCACAATCATCTACAGAGTAATTTGACACATATATTAATACTATTTAACAAATACTTTAAATAGCATACGTCTACTGCGAACGCGCGGCGCCGGCCGAGTGACAAAAAGTCACCAGTGAGCGGACTCCCATAGTAATGCACAGGGCGAGTGACAGTCACGTCACTCCGGTGTTACCTGCCGCTGCAACTATTTCTCACCGTAATATCACGTCACCATAATGAGCGCACTCAATATAGTTTTCATTGACTTCATTGACACTTGACTAAGTGACAAAAAGTCACGTCGACAAAAAATTGCAATCAGCGGCGGGCCTAAAATGTGTTTGTAGTAGTGATTACTGATAATACGACGTAATTGCCTGTATGTGAGCTCCCGGCGACGCCAATCCTCCTACAAAGTAAGGTTGAGAGCCATCCTATTGTGTATTATAGTATTCTATGCTCACAACCCTTAATAATATGCTGCTTGGAGACAGGAATATGTAAGACAGTGTTAACTAAACAGAAAGAAAGTTTATGTAAGCAATGAAACTGGTGATATGCTAATGTTACCTTCTGTTGCCTGTCATCGGTATCTTGTTCAGGCATCTGTTTCCGATTGACATTTTGGCCGGCGGGTGAATACGGCCGACGTAGTGGTGCGACCGGTGGCACACTGCACAAATTAATTTTACTCATATTAGGTGACATTCTCTTACTGAAAATTCTGACAATAATGGTTTGTAAAATTAAAAATTTGTACAACCCACTTCAATATATGTAAATGAAATGAGAACATCATCAATGTATGTCAACGTCAATTACATACATTGATGATGTTTGATGATTGATTGATAACTCAAAAACCACTGGTCAGATCTTGATCAATTTCATATGGGAGCGCACGAGAAGCAGCAGCTTTCAAATAAAAAACGAATCATCAAAATGTACCCCGAAAAAGTTCAACACATAAAAGAAAACGTGCTAGCGCATTTCACTGAGTCTGACAGACAATATATGCGTTTGGCGCGAGCATGATTTATAGTACTTATTTAACTCATTATTTTATTAAGTGCCGTTTCCGAAAAATATAATATCTATAATGGTGAATTACTGTTATAGTTATACGACGTTAAAACGACTAAGTAAAATTCAATTCAAATGACAAACATACAGTCAAATTGAGTATCTCCTTCTTTTTGAAGTCGGTTGGAAAGAAATTTATTTCCAATGTTTGACAATATTACGATCGAAAAGAATTGGCAATGTTACGCATTACAAATAAGTACCCGGCTAAAATAATATTTTATTATTGAGTATAAAAAAACTAGGTTAAAAAAAGGATTTAAAAAAAAAAAAAAAAAACAATAAAAGAAAAAAAAAAAAAACAAAAACAATCCGCCCAACCCCCCACCTGGGCTAAAAAAAAAAAAGAAAAACAGGACAGTCAAAAAACCAAAAAAAAAAAAAACCCCCACTTAAAAGAACTATAATAGTAAAATATTTTTACATTTTAAAATCAGAGCTTTAGTTTTCTTATACAGTACGTTTTCGCACCGTCTTGTTATGATATTAGTTTTAGTAATTTGTTTTTAAAAGTATTTTTTCTTCCAATTCATTTTGGTGTAATTTAGTAAACATTGGTGTAATACATTTTGATCACACTAAAACATTTAAATAAAGCAGCATTTCCAATCAGTGAAAGAATTCTCAGAGTTGTTGCTCCGAACATAAGTAACAACTTCACCACTGCGATATCTATATGTAGATGTCGCAGGTGAATAATGTGCATTTTATTCAAATTTATTTTACACACATGATAATAAAATCATGTTTCATTAAGATAAGGACTAAGGATGTAGCTTATAGGCTTTATGCCTTGTGACTACGTTCTGTTAACGTTTAAGTCTATTAACCCTTCAATCCCCATAAAATACCCATGCGTCCGTCAAATCCCGAGCAGTCGCATGCGACCACACCCACCCACAGCACTTTAAACCATTAAAACTTATATTTAGAAACTACTTTTCTAAGAAAAAGTTCGGCATAACAGAATTACGAGTAATACAAAATTCTCTATCCTGTGGTCTAAATAAAATTCAGGTTTTTTTATTCTACTGTCAATTTACGACATATTAAACCATAAGACACAGCACTTTAAACCATAAAAACTTACATTTTTATAGACTACTTTTCTATAAAGAAGTTTGGCATTATAGAATCTATACAAAATTTTCTATCCTCTGGTCTAAACAAATCAATTACTCTACGGATTTTTATTTTTAATCTACCGTAAAATTGCGCCATTTTCTTATGGTCGGCAAATGTCGTACATTGACAGTAGAATAAAAATAAAAATACATAGAGTAACTGACTTTTGTTTAGACCACAGGATAGAAATTTCCTATAGATTCTATAATGCCGAACTTCTTCATAGAAAAGTAGTCTCTAAATATAAGTTCTAATGGGTTAAATGGCTGTGGGTGGGTGCGGTCGGATCCGACCGCTTGAATGTTGACGGAACATCACCTTGGTCGGATCCGACCGTGTGCCAATTGAAAGGTTAAAATTACACTGCTGAACATAGGCCTTACCCACAATAGTCCTTATAAGTGGATATTTGCCACGTTTGGCAGGGATGTTGGCAACCGCAGTTTTTTTATTATTTTAGTTGATACGCTGCCCCATATCCAGTTAAATTTCTCTCTGTACCCTCTAACAACACCCACGGGAAGAAACAGTGGATATACTTACGCCACCACTACATGACTAACGTTTATTGGGATTAGGAAAAACACAATGAATAATGTGATCCCAGCAGAAAACATATTTATAAGCGGTCTTAGCGGTCAGCCGTCGTAGAGTCTACACCACCTGAAGATGCCTCGTGTAGAGGTGAAACACGTGTCGTATTATCGTCGATGGTGTGTCTTTCCTAGAATAATGGTGTTGAGAGTAGTGGTGCTGGGATTAGTGGTGACGGGATTAGTGCACGCAATTGAGGGAGGGCGGGAGGTGCTCTTCAATCTAGGAAAGACACATCATTGTATTTAATTGAGCGGATGGTTGCGAAGTAACTATTATATATTATGTAAAGTAACTATTATATATCTTTATTATAATGGATTTCCGCAAAGTAACGCCTGATTCTATCAATTATATTTATAGGTATCAATATCACCATAAGGTAGAATTTACTTACACTGGTTCCACAACAGGTGCATCCGGAGCTGATGTTGGAGCAGGTTCTTGTCCCTCGCCGTTAGTCAAACTAAAATTTAAAATATAAAAAATTAAATAAAAATACAATTAAATGAAACTAACTTTTACGGATATTATCGCGTATATTTACTCATTTTAAATTCCTTACGTTTCGAGTACTTTACAGCATCCATGGTAATGGGGGACGTGAGGTACTCGACGTCCCAATGTCATCGTTTACAACGGTCTTCAGTATAAAATTATTTATTTTTGTTCCGATCTACTTAAAATGAGGTTATAGTATCTTGAAGCCTTGCATTAGTATGCTTGGGTTGGATTGGAATTTAATTTTGTAAATTATAGGATCCTAAGCAGATGGTAGTGCTCAGCCACCTCCTATCTCCTTAATATAAGGATGTTTTTTGATTTCAATAGCCTTCCTAATCATCCTTGGAAGGAATCAGTGTTCTTTAGCGAGGATTTGTGATCTATCAAATCTGATGTAGTGACGGGGGCGATCCTGTACGTTCTCGCAGTCTCTAGACTTCCAGGAGCGTCAATTCTTTACATCAGCTATGTGTTTTTTACTATGTGTAATGTGTATATATACACATACATATATATAAGAGAGAATACATTCACAATCAAGCTTGTGCATGTTCTTTTTTTATGGTAAGTGGATGTTGTTGTTGTTGTGAGATATTCACAATCAAGCAACTCAAAATTCGAAACTCGATGTGTATCGATGATAGTACATGTATTCTTCAATTTTTTTTTTGTTAAATCTAGGAAAAGATGGACACTTGCATAACCTAAATTTAATGACTCTGGTTCGAATCCAATATAAGATAAATAAGGAGTCATATCCACAGTGTCATTTTACGTAACCATGTGAGGTACACATGATCAACAACAACGTGTGTCATGATAAATGTCAGTGTGTCACTCACCCGGCGAAGTTGTGACACACCCCGCAGTGCTCGGCAGCGATCTTAACAACAGAGTTCATCTTACGAGACATCATTTGTGTCGAGCTAAATGTCAGCGTGAGCCGTGGTAGCTCAGATGGTTAACGCTCGCTGTAAAACAGAACGCGAGTAACCCGGGTTCGATCCCCGCCGGCACCAATGAAATTAATTGCAATTTTAAGTGCTGATTTACCAGGTGCTCGGCGGTAAAGGAAAACATCGTGAGGAAACCTGCATGTCTGAGGAATAAGAAAAAAATATTTCGAAGACATGTGAAGTTTGCCAACACGCATTGGGGCAGCACGGCGGACACTTCCTTTCCCTAAAATCCTTTCAGAAATGAGGGAAGGCCTGTGCCCAGCAATGGGACGTATATAGGCTGTAACTTTACTTTACTTTACTTATAAATGTCAGCGTGTCACACATCGGGTGAGGTTGTGATACACGGCGCAATGCCGGTGGATCCAGTCGCGGCGCAGTATTGCGTGACCCCGCAATGCTCGGCAGCAGTCTTATCGAGTGTCACGTTATGTGACCATGTTTTGTCAAACTTAATATCAGTATGTGACTCACCGGGCGAGGTTGTGACACACGGCGCGATGCCGGTGGATCCAGTCGCGGCGCTGACACCGCGGGCCGCAGTACGGCGTGACCCCGCACCGGGCGCAGAACGCGTCAGCGTGGCCGCCGCAAGACACGCAAGCGCGCGAGTTCATGCGCTGCAGCGCAGGAATTTTTAGCTGCGCGGGATTGTCCACCTTGTGTATATGAAGGTTGAGTGTATTTTGTGTTGTTGTTCAATGACCTTGTGACTTAAGCATTAAAGGCAGATTTACAGTTGGTCACACGCGTCGTTATACAAAAAGCAAATGCTTTCACAGTACTACTAATAGAAATATAAGAAATATGTTAGTTAACGTCGACAAGAGACGACATCCACGAAAGCTTATCGAATAAATTGGCGCTATATTGAAATAGGTCAGATTAAGAGTAACCTTAACCGACGAGCATGTATACGTAAGTATATGGATGTAAAGGAGGCGGGAGAGATGTGTCAGGATCGTGCCAAATGGAAGTCCGTAGTTTCTGCCTACACCTCTGAGTGACAGGCGCAAGTGTTTATGTCTCTCGCATAAACTGTTTTAAAGTCAGTGCTAACCCGCAAATGTTCGATTCAATTCGGATCAACACTGATACATAGTGTACTCCCATCCTAAAGCCAGAAGGACACTGATCTAAATAAGGGCATGGAATGGTGACTTTTTTTTATAGAAAAGAGTGATAAACAAACACACAATTCACCCGTTCGTAATTGGATGCTGTGGCCCATAGACATCTATATATTAGGTATATGAGGACTAAGACGAAATGCCTCGTCTCCAGTAAAAAGTATCTTAACACAGCAGTATTAAGCTGCTGTTTTATGCTGGCATTCTGTGAGAGCGTGGTCCTTCCCCGGTCGAGCCGACACATTCGTGTTACAACCATAATTTAGTTGCAGCATGGCTTTACCACGTTAAAAACTTTTAATGCTTTGTAAAATTATAAGGTGGTTGATGGAAATCGACATAGATCAAAAGTCAATCACTGATATTCAAATGACGCCAGTGTTATGGACTCGGCCACTGTTCATTAACCTGTTAACCAAGCCTAGCTCACCCTCGATCGCGCAATACCAACCTTACGCCCGCCAAGTAGTGATCGAATTAGATCAGAATTATGTAAACATGTCTACCTATGAAAAAACTATTTTTTCGTTTTAAACAAAACCAAAGACACTATGCAATAGATATTAGTATCAAAGACAAAGATATGCTCTTTTATTTTAAACCATAACCTGGCAATGTTTCTTAGAAAAAAAAAAAGAAATCACTCTGAACTTCCGGCGTTCCACGTGTCACTTTGTTGAAGGTGCTCCGTCTTTTTTATAGAATTTTATATTTGTGTCTGGACTAAAAACGAAAGTATTATACTTTTTTATATTCCTTGTAATATAGTAAACACGTAGATATGTAATTTGTGGTATAAAAAGTGAAAAGTAAATTGCCAAAAGTACTTCAAATTCCGGAAAGCCCGTTTTGGCAGGTGAGTTATAAATGTGTTATTTTTCAAATTCTCATTTATTTTTAGTGTAAAATGTAAGTAAAAATAGTTTTCGTATATATTTCAAATAACATGACGTTGTATTTATTTCAAATTCACACAAACATATTTTAGAAATATTGTTCTAAATGTCATACAGATAAAATATTATTTTATTTTTTTTTAATTTTTATAATATTTTAATATTTTGGTATGAGTAACGAATGGAAACACATAAAACATAAAAATATACATATTTCCAAACAATTTGATATAAATTTCTCCAAAAACAAAAGTGTAGAATTCAAATTAGTAGTAATTTTGTCACTAAAATTGAAGTATATGCTACTACTATGCTATACAGGGTAATTTACGTATTAATTAATAGTAGCTTTAGTTCGAATTTCTAGCAACCAAAAACAATTTTATTCGATAGTTTATACATTCGACAAGAATTCCTGTAAGTTTTATCCATAAATATTGTCTCAAAGTGAAAATATAGCAAAATTTGCAATATAGCAAAAAATTTGCTAACTTACAAATTTTCCCGCCAAAAAGGTCCCGAGTGAACGGGAGTATAACATGGCGCGCGCTCGCTTGGCGAACAGGTTTTCATCACAGCCTACCAAAGTGCATAGACCCTTCTATATATCGTCTCATAGGAAGGTTATGTGCCATAGTAGCCACTCTCGGCAAGTGAGTTGCTTCTGTCCATTTCCCATTTCAATTTCCCTCTGTCACGTTTTACAATATGGTGGGGTTGTGGTTCTCTTAAGATAACACTACATGGAATCAGTAATTATATTAACTAATTTTTATCTTCTCCGTGACGCAACGGTTCAGCAATGAGTTGCGGCGATGAGGATCTCGAGGGTTCGAATCCCGCACGGAACAAGTATTAATACGACCTACAAATAATGATTTCGGGTCTGGATGTTTGTTCTTGTGAAATTTAGATATAAAAACTGCCTTCGAGATACAGGAAAACTGATTAGAGGAAGATTATACGTGGTAGGGCCACGCTGCAGCTATTATGGTTGTAGCATGAATGGGTCGGCTCGACCAGGGAAGGTCCACGCTTTCACAGAATACCAGCGTAAAATAGCAGCCTAATGCTGCTGTGTTTCGTATGGTGATTGGTGTGTGTAGAGAACCGGAGATCCGTTTTACTGGAATTGAGGCATTTCATCTTAGTCTTCAAGGATGACAACGCATCTGCATTTTGATTCTTAATCGAGTTTAAATTGTCTATGGGCCACAGCACACATTTCAGGTGGACTGTGTGCTCGTTTGCAAAGATGTACAAAATAGTTTAAAAAATGTATTTAAATACAAAATGCAAATACTTTTTTGATTTACTATTTCAAATGCAAAATACCAAATAGTTTTGTGTTTTGTATTTTAAATACTAAATGTAAAATAGGTATTTTCAAAATACTTCCTTTAATTACAAATACCTTTTCTTCAATTCAATTCTCTTTATTTATTACACTTTTTAATAATACAAGTTGTTCGGAAACATTATCGCTCATTTTACTTCTGCGAGATCGCAATTATCAAGCCACCGTATGAAAAAGTCTTCAGCTATGGGTTTGGACGTTTTAGCATATTCAACCAAAAACTATATTTCAATTTTCAATTTACTTTAAGACTTCCGAACCCAGTTTTCTCAGTGCTTCAATTATGGTTTGTTGAACTTTTAAGATATCTGTTATGCATTAATAATATGAATTTCACCGATTTGGGCAGGGGCTTGTTGGAGATAACTTCAAAGTAAATTTCAGATGCTTTCGGCGATCTAGCGCATAGATTTCAAAGAGCCTGGCATTTAGACATAGCCGCATCATGTATTTTACGGTTTACCGTTAGACGGTAAAACTTTGGGTATGTTCCGAAATACAACGCAGTGTACTGTCCAATGCAAATGACGTCATGAATCGTCGCTATCCTGGTGATTCGTTCCAAAACATTGGACAGTATATGACGTCATACTTTTGCGCCATTTGGAAAAGTGTTGGCGATTATTTTGTCATTTTGTGCTCCAAAAATCATTATATCCTCCTAATGGATATACCATCAATTATTCTATAATTTTTTGTATTTGAATAAATAGAAACAAATTCTGGCATGCTTCATTCGGCATGCAACACACAATTAAAAATTGTTTTATTATGGCCGGATATCCGACACAATATGGCGGCGGCACGCTAATACAATAAAGTGTCAAACGATGACGTCATTTGCATTGGACAGTACACTGCGTTGTATTTCGGAACATACCCTTAAATTCGATGCCTGTCAGTTGTCACTGACATAAAGCGTCGGCGTCACGAGCAGCCCCTCTAGTGACTACAGCCACACCAAGCACCAATTCGTTCATTTTATATCAAGTTTGACTGGTAATCTTCACAAAACTTAATCACGATGTATTTTGCATTTTTAAAATGGAAAATATGTCTAGAAAAGTATTTCAAATAAAATACAAAAGCTTTTAAATGCTTTAAAAAGTATTTAAATGCTAAATACAAAATAGGTATTTTGTATTTGCATTTTAAATATACAAGTATTTCAAATAAGTCGCATCTCTGCTCGTTTGTCATGATCTTATAAAAAAAAAAGAAGAAAATCCAAGTAATGGGTATTAAGCAACAAAAAATATATATAAATCTGCCTTCGTTAATGCATTTGTTGTATCTTGGTGATAGTTGATTGTTTATTGATATGCGAAATGTTGTTCACGACTTTGATTTTACGAAATTTAGAATACAACGCTCCTGTTAATGCTTGTAACATTTTCGAAGAAAATGCATACTAAACGAAATTGTGCATACTGTATTAATTAAAACGCTTTTATTAGCTTCGCGTGTATCCAAACACATTTAAGAGTAGTGATAGACCGGACATCAGCAACAAAATCGACGTCTGTAACTTTTGTCCTTGAACGAATTAACCACTGGACCCGACATATAAGCGGAATTACCTATACCGGTCTTGTCAGTAACCAGAAAATTATAGCCTTGGTCGTTTGTTTTTGCGTCAGTCTCAAGCACTTACTTGTCAACAAAACATCTCCCAAAAATGACTAAATTTTCAGTTAAATGGTGTAAAAACTATAGCGGCGGAAGCAGCACTATTTCTTTTCACTTGTAAGTACATTATTTTATTACATTTATTGTTATTTATCACAAAATCTAATCAAATGTAAAATAAAATGTTGTATTATCCAACTATGTTAAATATAAGTATTCGATATTTCTATGTATCGTTGACATCTGACAACCATCACAAAATGGGTGGATCAGAACGAATGACTAAAACCGTGGAGTGAGTCAATTTGACATCGAATAGTGCTTGAGAATGTTTTTTTTATTATATGTAATTACAGTTTTAGTATGTTAATTACATTCGGGCAAACGCCCTGCGCCGCCTAAACGAAACAGCAGGCGCAGGCATACATTTTCCCGTAGACGTAGAAAGAGAGGGGGATATTTCCTCTCCTACGCCGTACATCTTACAAATTTTCGATCAGGTCACGTGTCCTGACGCGAGTTTAAAATTTTTTACCCATTACAATAAAAGTGTACAACGCCGCTAAAGAAGTTTTCACTTCAAAAATATACAACCAACTACAATATAACAACTTTTAACAGAAATGACGGTATACCGTGGTATACTGAACACATCTGCATACCCCTTTAGAGGGTACAGGCACAGCTTAAGAAGAACATACTGATGTTGTCGGAAAAGCCAACATAAACAGTAAACTGCTAGGGTTGTCAGAACCGGAAGACCGGAAGTAATAAAAAACTGATTTTATTTTATTTCACGCTAAAACAAGTTTTTGTGTACCTATGTGAAAACTGATGAAACTGTAGTTCCTTATCTTTTAATGAGCTCTCATTAATCGAAAAGTTCAAACAGATTTTTACGAAATTTAAATGGGACCATTTCGAAATAAGCCTCTTTCGAACAAAAGAACAAGAACTTTGCAAATCCGTATATATATGACGTTGAGTTATCCCCGAACATACATAAAAATACATAAACATCCGAATTAAGAACCTCTTTCCTTTTTGAAGTCGGTTAAAGAACTAAAATATAAAATTACAGTACAGTCAAGCTAATAAAAGCGTCTTTAAGATACCAGTTTCTTAACAATTCTACTCTTCAGAGAAGATTAGATCTCACTTTTGATGGAGTGTATTATGAAAAGGCAAGTACGGGAGCACAATGCTGTGTTAGTTCTTACCTTAACTCGTGGTAGTGAAAATAGAGTGAGGGAAAAGAAACACGAAGGTAGAATAACATTTAAGAGTATGTTAGGGGTAGAAATTGTGTGATAAGAGAAAAGTATGATTTGGAAGATGTTGTGACCAGGATTTAGAAAGGAATGCTTCGGTGGTGTTGTAGAAGCAATTAATGAGGAAAAAGTGACAAAATAAATTTGTGTCACCAAAGCATATGGCAGAGTCTACCGGAGGCGTATAACATTAGATAGCTAACTGGCATTTACCAGGCCGCCTTTTGCGCCACTCGTGGAACGAAATGAGGTGATGTATCTTTTATAATTGTGTAATTTGTCGGTAACCCTCGTTGCTTTAAGACATCTAAGTTCCTGAGACAGGTTTGCGCCTAAGGTATTATTAAGGTACCCATTTGAAGTAGCCAGTTTAATTTTTTTTTAAATTAAAGTCCCGTCACTAGTTGGAATATTTTATAACTAGATGGTATAATGGTAGAGCCATGCTACAGCTATATTATATATAGTAGTAGCTCGTGTGGGTCGGCTCAACCGGGGAAGGACCACGATCTCAAAGAATATCAGCGAGTATAGAGAACCGGAGACAATTTTTACTGGATACGAGGCGTTCCATCCTAGTCCTACGGGTGACAACACATCTGCATTTTCTATATGTTGATGTCCATGGATTTATCAAGTGGGCTGTGTGCTAGCATATCATTCTTAAAGAAAAAACTAGCATTATACACGAGATGGTTAAATCGCCATCTACTACAGTCCATAAATATTTAAGGCGTTGCATAAAGTCGCGTCTTTCTACGTGGTAGAGCCATGCTGCAGTTATATTAGTAGTATAGTCGTAGCACGAATGGGTCGGCTCGACCGGGGAAGTACCACGCTCTCACAGAATACCAACGTCAAATAATAGCTTAATGCTGCTGTGTTTCGTATGGTGAGTGTAGAGAACCGGAGACCCTTTTGCTGGAAACGAGGCATTCCATCTTAGTCCTCACGGGTGACAACGCATCTGCATTTTGAATCGCATACGAGGATAGATGTAAATGTCTACGGGCCACAGCAACCACTTACCATCAGGTAGACTGTGTGCTCGTTTGTCACCTTATCCTATATAAAAAAAAACACCCAAAAACGAAATCGAGTGATAAGTTATCTTAAACTGCCACTACAATATTTTTTTAATCTACAAGTGTTTTATTTGGATTATTGGATAAACATGATAATATTAAACTTTATAAAATTTAGCTGGAAGCTCCAGCTCTTTGCAGCCGCAGAAGAAATAATTGTGAAAATATCGTTTTAAATTTGGAAAAGTTATATTATTTAATTAGGAATAATATGTGGGTGCTACTGACAGAGCACACACATACGTCGCCCGTGTCAATGATGTAATTCTCGTGAAATATGGATAACGACTGCCACCTGCGGAACCAGTCTGTAAGAGTAGGGCGGTTCCTTTTTGGATGTATAATGTGAACACGCGTCTCTGATACGATTAAATAAATCGGCTACTATACAGGTTGTTAGTGTAAACACCGTTATCCTTGAAACCAGTGGTTTGGTTTCACTTATAGAACGTTAATTCAATGAATTTAAAAGTAAAACGATATTTTCTTTCATAAAATTTAAAGTTCTATTTTATGAAAGAAAGAAGACCATCCGTAAATTCATGGATATCCTATGCGTCCGAATAACGTAATCACTGTAAAGATCACCGCTCGCGCTAGCTACCTACACAACATTCCAATAAAAACACAGTAGGTACACATAACCTGTGTTGTAACTTTTCCTTCATACTTTCATCCCGGCTTAGGACAGGCAAAAATTGAGGAATTAAGGAAAACTAAAAAAAAATGTTATTTTTCATTGAATTTACATTCTATAATTGAAACCAAACCACTGGTTTCAAGGATAACGGTGTTTACACTAACACCCTGTATATGGCTAATATTTTCTACAGGAAGGCCTCAGCAGTTGATTTTGATAGGTTGGTTGTCCTAAATAAATAAATAAAATAAAAATCAATCACTTTATTAAGGCTAATAAATAACAAAAAGAGAGCCACAATTGTCATCATTATTAAAATTAATTAAAAAATATAAAACTAAATTACAAATAAATCATTATCGACTAAATCATGACAACTTTGTTATAAAAGCACTTAAAATACTAAAACTAAAATGCTAAGGTATAAAAAATAAATGCTGCATTTTTGTCCAAAACTTGTCATAATAAAATCACAGACCGTGACGACCTTTTACCCAACAGTGAACTATATCACCATAAATTAAGGCAAAACCTAAAATGGGGTGGGAGGGACTATTATTGACTGGTAAAAAAACAATCATAAAAGGCTAAAGAAAATGAATATCAAGGACTTATGGCACACTGGTGGGTGGGATCAATCATTCGTAACAGGGGGACTTTAACCCTTTCCTGTTCCATGAATCATCATATATGAACATTTCGATTGTTTAACTATTGTCTTATTCAGGGACAGGTAAACTGTTAAATATTAGTTGTGAAACTGAATGATAGGGTGGGAATGTATTGACCAGTATTATGAAAGGAATACTTCTATGGTTTGGACACGTAGAAAGAATAAATAAGGAAGTGACAAAGAAAATTTGTGGTGCACAAGTGACCGACAGAATCAGAAATGGACCTCTAGACAAAAGTTTATCGACCAAATTGGCGATATAATGAAAATGAAGAGAATGTTTGCGTAGGCCGTAGATATATGGAATATGGATGTGAAGGAGAGAAGTGTTAGAATCGATCAAATAGAAGTCTCTACCTACCCCACTGGGGGATAATTTATGTGTATGTAACATACGAATCAAGTCATTGACGTCTAGATAAGTATTTTAGTGTAATCTGAAATGTAATTCAAAAAATGCGTAACGAAAGTGGTGAATAAAATCGTTGAAGAAATAAAAATTAAATAAATGAGTCGTATATCACATAATTGGAATGATTTAATTTTAGACAGATTACGAGTCAATAAACCTAAAATATACTGCATAACAATATCGCCTAAAACCATGATGCATTAGGTAGTTAACGTTAAACCCTACTTATTCTATAGCTTATGGTTTAAAATAGAATATCACATAGTTAAAAACACGTCTAGAAGAAAAATTTCAGCCTCTCACCCCCTATAGTTGAGTCAAAAGCCTTGCTCCTTATAACAGAAGCTGATTGTTTGTCCATAAATATAGTGAATTTTCCTTTACTAGGATAATCTGGATCGTACGAAATTTTCCACAACTCAGTATTCAAACCTGGATTTTTATCTTCTAACAAATCAAGTATGATATTGAAATCGTCTTTGTCTTCTGGTAAAATATTTGTGGGTATTTTTAAAATCATTCTACAATAGCCTTCGTTATTTCTTTCACTTGATAACACAATGTCTGTGACACTTTTATGTGACTCTAAATCCTTATCAGGACATTCATCGCAACTTAAATAGGGTTCCTTAGTTTCGGGTTCCACGTTAGGAATAATGTTGCTAGATTTCGTAGTATGATTGGATATTTCTTTATCTGATATGTATTGACCAATTTCAGCATTTTCTGTCAGCGTATTCAATTGTTTATTACTATGAGTATCAATGTATTTTCTTTCAAGATATTCAAGACTAGATTTTGGTTTGATGAGAGATTGCAAATGACCCAATTCGAATTGCACTGCACTAGAATCAATGTATTTATTAAATTCTGGACTAGTTATCACTTGAGCTGAAAGTCTGTCGATTTGTAGGACGACGTCTAGCTTAGTTTTAGAACCCACTACGCTGATCTTTCGCCAGTATTTCGTGCGTAACCTCGGATTTTGTTTCTGCAAGATTGATATCACTTCATCAGTATCTCTATCAGTAATTACCACCATTCTAACAATGCCAACAGCACCTCGAAATTCGGTACATTTAAAATTCATATGCAATTTTAAATTAAATGCAGGAATATGATCTTGAATCCATTTTTTAGATACGATGTCTTTACATATTATAAAAATAACACCATCGTATAAATACATGTCATGAATTTTCGGTATAGTAATCTCATCATTTTTAAAAGAATCCATAACGACACTAGTCATAGCGTTTTTAAACGTAAAGAATAAAGCCTCATCCACACGGGTTTCGGGATAATTGGAGGGACCAACATAAAGTTTGAGATCATCTGCTATCAAATCCGAGTAATGCTTAGTTCTAACGCGAGTTAAAGGTGTGCTCATAATATCTGGGTTAATCGGACTATACATGTCTCTGCAGATTCTTTCCCAAAGAGCTTTGGTCTCAAAATCTTCTACAGCCACTAATTTAGTTTCAGTCTCACTACAAGTGACATTTTTTCCTTTTCTGTCGATTATTCTGAAACTTACATCTTCGCCTTTATAGGAAAAACTAAATGTGGGTCTTTTAATTATGTCTAAAGATTCTGGATCGACGCCAAATTCCCTTTTCTGTTTACCAGCAACATCCACGTAGTACTTCCAGCTATTTAGTTTTAAGCCAGGGTATTTCGCGTTCAATTCAGTCAGAATCTCTTTTGATTCTAAATGAGCAAGTTCTTTGGGCAAACGCATGACAAGTCTGGTGTAACGAAGTAGCTCACTAACGTCTTTAAAAACTAATTTCAAACTTGTAGCTGTTATAAATTTAGGTAAAATATCAGTTAAATATTCTTTAGTTTCTAAACTATCACAGATATATACCACGGCTCCATTTGAGAGATACACGTCTTGGAACTTGGGAATGATATGGTTGTTGAAACGTCGCCTCTTAATGTCTTTGTGCAAGTATTCCTTAAACAGGCGCTTAAGACTTCTGATGTGTGTGCCTTCCAGTTTGTTCTGTGGATATCCGTCTAGAGTGATGGCGATCTTTAGATCGTTATCCACATGTAAATAGTTCGTACGTCTGTTATAGGCGATGCCTCTGTTAGAATCTATAGTTATAGTGCGGTTTCTGTCCACAAAATCATCGGTGCTCTCTATGATAGAGTCTGTTTTCTCTGTCAATATAGCTGTTGATGTAGATTCGTCGTTCTCATGGGTGTCTTTATCATATTGAGAGTTTTCACTTTCTTTATCACTGGTTTCGTCTTTTGTTTTGACAGACAAAACAACTGTTTTATTTTTATCATTTGCATAATCTACGTCGATAACTTCCTCAAGGGTATCGATTTGAAGAGGGTTTTCAAGATCTTTCGTAACATCTAAAATATTTTTTAGTTCTTTAGTCTTTGTCAGCGCATCTATTAATTCATTTGTAATATTTATTTCTTTGTTTGTTTTAAGATTAATTTTACTGTCATTTCTTGGCGTTACTTCCTCCGATCGTATTTCCTTTAGCAATTTAACCCTCGACGCCACACTACTTAGATCATCTTTGAGATCTAAGCTTTCGTAATAAATTTCAGTGTAGCCAGTCAGATCAAATTCTATATTACAGTAGTCTATAACGTTTTTAAAAGTTGGTCCACGAATTATTTCCCCGGAAATCCTATCGATTAAAAAGGACGTACACTCAATATCGTCAATAATTTTTTGAGCATAAATCTTCCACTTCTCCGTTCTTAAAGTTGGATTAAAATACTGTATCAACTTAAACACGTCTAAGGCTGTATCAGGCCAACAGGACTGTGGTATCTTCAACACAGCCAGACATATTCTTTTCACTTTAGAATTTAATAAAATCAGTCTCTTATTCATCCTTTCTTCGAGACCGCCTGAAACCCTGACTATCCAATCTCTAGTACCCAAATCTTTACAAATGAAGACTACCGCGCCCCTATTCAGATAGTAGTCGAGGAAAGACGGCATTGTCTTTAACAAACCAGCTTTAATTTGCATATCAATTATGTCTGTAAGTGATTTTTGCAACTGTTCCATATGTTTCAGCAGCATCTTCGATTTAGGATAACCAGATAAGGCTACAACAATTTTTAGATGTTCTTCCACTATATCTAAGTAATCAGTATTTCGCAACTGTATTAGACGATTAGTTTCATCGTGCTCTTCATCACTGACAAAGTCGCTAAATTTAAACTCATAGAGCGTTTCACTTTCTCTATCGCACTCCCTACTTTCACTAGCACTGGTAAAGTCGGATTTCTTGTCGACTGATTCCATACCTTTTGATTCTTTACTTGTGAGGTCCACAGTTTTTGTTGCAGCTCTGGATTCTGTAATATTACTTTCCAAGTCCGACTTATCTTGGACCTCCCATGTGCGATTTATTCGACTTTTCTCCCCGCAGAGTACGCAAGTTGACGCGGAGGAGCTATCGCCTCCAGAACTGCTGCTCCTGTCCCAGGATTTACTGCAGGTGCAATGTTTCCCGTTCTGCAGACAAATTTATCTGGTATCGGTATCAGCGCAACTGTCAACTGCTACATTCTATTCTACTTCTAGATGAATGTTTCTATACTGTTAATGAGTATTCTTGATCACAATAATCAAAACAAATTACATATTTAAATATATGTATCTAAATTAAAAATGCTTGAATTTTTTGCTGTGAGTTTAAAAAGGACTTCGATAGTTATAGAATAATGATTAGTTAGTTATTTTTACTGTTGTTACATATGAACATTTATATTTTGACGTTTGTAAACGATTTAGTGACATTGTTTTAGTATAATTAATCTTTTGACATTTATTTTATTATCAATTGGACATTTTTATATCACATTAATTTAAAATCATCAATAATTGAAAAAAATATTTTTATATCTATTTAGTCAAAATTTGCACGCCTCGATAAGGCAGAATGTATAGGAACTTTTATGTTTTAATAATACTCTTGTAATATCTACCTACATTCTATGCAAATAAATAATTATGAATTATGAAAGTTAGACACATTTAGGACTTATGACATTGAATGATAGTTAAGAAGTACTGATAGTAATATTATCATTAATACCTTTAATCACTTCTTTGGTCTTAATTTTGGCAAACTTTAAAAATTTATTACGATATATTTAAAGGGTTTTCCTTAGTTTATTGGTTATTATTTAGGCAAATTTATATCGAACTTCAGTATATTTATAGAATTCATTGTATATACGTGGTAGAGCCACGCTGCAGCTGTATTATAGTTGTAGCACGAATGGGTCGGCTCGACCGGGGCAGCACTACGCTCTCACAGAAAACCAGTGTAAAATAGCAGCGTAATGCTACAGTGTTTTGTATGGTGTATAATGATACTATAATACTCAATAGAATGGCTGTAAACTTTATTTTGCACGAGGTTTGGCGTCGCCAGACCCGATTTGCTGTGTTGACAGACTGAATAAATTTACACATTTTAGATTTTTGATTAATGTTCAAGATCATCATTAAAAAAATCGTTTAAATTTTAATACATATTATTTGTAAACAGGGTGCAATTTGTCATTTTTTAAATAATTGGCATACGAAATTTGGAAACGATTGTAACGTCAAAACACATCTCGTGTTGACATTTATGCGTGTGAATTGACGTGTTAGTGACATTTTAGTGGCTGCGCGGGCTCCGCCCACTCCTCCGTTCTATTATCTATGTATTATAGTATTCTAAGGTTAGTGTAGAGAACAGGAGACCTTTTTTACTAGAATTCCATCTTAACCCCCAAGGGTAACAACGCATTTGCATTTTGATTCCTAATTGAGGATAAATGTGGATGTCTGTGTGCTTGTTTGTCACCCAATGCTATAAAAAAGTAGTTTATTGGTATGGTATGGTTTATGTGTTTTTGGCCAATATTCGAATTTTGTACATTCCGTTCTACTTCGTTCTAAACGTAAGACAATTTTAGGACTTACAACATCAAATGGTAATTATGAACTAGGTATTGTTAATATTATCACTTATAGATAGCCATTTTTTATCATAATTTATTTTTGGCAAAACATATTTTGTTACTGTTATAAACTTTAATGATTTGCCATCTTGGGGTTTTTTACCACTTACTAGCAGGTGGGATTGTTATCAAACACTAGATTATCTAAGTACAATTTGCGTATAATTATATCACTACATTATGTTGAATATTAGTTACAGGATATGGCCCACAACTGGCTACAGGCGCCCTCTTATTTCTGAGTGAGTTTAGGGCATGAAATGTCCGTCGCGCTGATCCAATGCGTGTTATCAAGCTTCACATGTTTTCGAAACTTTTTATCCCTAATATATTGAACATGAGGCATATTATAATCTGTAACACTGTATTATATAGTATGTATTTTTCTAGTGTTTCCAAATGGGGAGACATTAAAATTATTTTAGTATGAACATTTATGTATTATTATTTGCTTTACCATATTCAATCCGTATTCAATCATCTTTTACTTTTTCTTGTACGATGAATATAATATTATAAGGACACAGTACACCTGATGGTAAGTAAATGCTGTAGCCATATAGATCACTAAGATCGAATGCCTTTTTATCAGTAAAAGTCTCCCGTTCTTTTTAGAACCTGGTATTCCGTGAGTGGTCCTTCTCCAGTATAATATCTAATATAACAAATGTGAAAGTTTGTTTGACTGTTAGTGGCTTAAGAATTAAAAAAAACTAAATAGATTTTATTGAAACTTGGCAATATTAAATATAACAAACCATATGACCTATAGTTTATTTAAAAATAATTTAGTCTGTACAATATTTTCATCATCATCATCATGGTGCAATAAAATATTGGTAAATTTTTTTATCATGATTTCTTATATTTACGCGAACACTACACATTGATTAAAACTACTTTTACGGATGCTATCGCGTTTAATTTTAAAATGATTTTTAATTCCCGACGTTTCGGATGCTTTCCAGCACTCATGGTCACGAGGGACTATTTTTAATTAAACAAGAGCGGAGCTGCAGGTAAATGAAAATAAGAATATAAGAAAAACAGATTACATAATATTGATACCTCAGTTCCTAAGTTTTTTTTTTAAATAGAATAAGGGTCACAAACGAGCACAGTACACCTGATGGTAAATGAATATTTCAGATGGTGCCTGTAGACATCTACATCTATCCTCGATAAAAAATCAAAATGCAGATGCATTGTCACCTTTGAGTACTAAAGTGGAATGCCTCACTTCCAGTAAAAAGGGTCTCCGGTTCTCTAGAATCACCATACGAAGCACAGCAATATTAAGCTGCAATTTTACGCCCTTACTCTATAAAAATGTGGTCCTTCCCAGGTTGAGCCAAACCTATTCGTGCTACAAATAATATAACTGCCTAATGGCCCTGATTTGCAGTCTTGTAGGTTATAAAGGGTAATTTTTAGATAAGAGTATCAAAATTTTGTCTATAAGTGCAAATTTATATAATGATATACGGTTATTGAAGTTATTGTTAATACGAATAAATATGGCTTCGAGTTTTATTTGAAATTATCCCAAATTTAATGTGATTTATGGGCATTAACTACGCGTACGGGCGCTCCTCTTTGTGCGATTCAATCATTGAAGTAATATGTACTTACGTACTAGAACAGCTGTCTCAAACAAAAAATGTGCGCTACTCTGTGTTCGCGCGGTTGGTTTTTTTTTTATCATAGAATAAACATAGGTAGAATGATCCGTAGGTAATAGTAGATTGTATTGTTAAATAGATAAATTATATCGAGAACAATATTTAAATTTTGTCATTTATTTTGTATATTATATTTGCTTATTTAATATAATATTATATCACAATTACATTTTAATGATATTTTTATCTGAATATTTTAAAAGGTATCTATGTCAAATATAAAAAACATGCTAAATGTACGTTTAACAAAACTTATTAACATAACATTTAAATTACAAATATATTTATTGAAATTAGAATAAGAGTCGTTCATAAATGCTGGGCACGCGAGTTAAAATGGACGAATTTATTCTACTTTGACTGATGTGGAAACCTAAAAATAAAATAAAAGAATAATAAGCAGATTTAAACATGAAAAATTTAGCCTAATTATAATAACATATGTTTCTACAAAAAAAAAAATGTGTATATTAATATATTCGTCCTATACTTAAGTACCCACAGAAATGTCGCATCCAAACATATTAATTTCATAATCTATATTCCATGACACGAGATGGCGTCTTAGTAATAATTTGTTTCATTATTAATCTATAATACTTTTTTTATTGATTAAGTATCTTATTAACCGGTGAAAAGTAATTCCTTGGTTTTTACTGACATTTCTTAAATTATTTGTGCAATACCTAAGTATACACGACGGCATATTTTTATGAGATTTTTTTTTAAATCAACACAACACGTGACAAGTCTACAAGCGCCTAGCGAGTGACTGATTAAAGTGCGGTGTATATACCGCAGTTGAGTGGAACAGAGTAGCTGAATGCAGTGTCGCCTCTAGAACGTAGTACATAATAACTCAATGGATTCAATTCTCGTTTTTGCCAACCGAGCGTTCCTTACGAATGTGTGCGTGCGTAAAAATATAGTAAACGTTAGATATTTATGTATGGAAATCAGTAAAAATAATGCATTACCGCGTATTCTGAATTTAAAAGATTAAAAGAACAGAATGTTTGAGACTTTTTTAATTTAACTTGTCTTCACCATTCGCCTATATTACTTATTCCTAACCTTCTCTGAAAAATTGGGGGTATATTGCAAAATAACCCAGTTTTTATTTTAATAGAAACTCAATTATAGCAAATATATTATAAGAACTGATTCACTATTAAATTTACAAGTTTTAATAATATGCAGTTCAATCACAAACTGTGTAATGTCTCATGGTAACGGCGTAAGAAAATACATCACCCCATTTCCTCCCGTAGGTGACGTAAGAGGCGACTATTGAAAACGCTAGAGGGAAATCTCATTGACGCCAGACGTAGCATATACAGACCGGCAACGGGCCGCAGCGTTTAAGGTGCTCACTTCTGGTTCTGCGATATTCAATCTAACTGCCTAGCGTTTAACACAAATAGGAAGCAGGTCCTCCACTGTAGAGAAGTAATTCTCACTCATGTCCAAAAGTAAACATTTACTGGCTGATAAAAAAGGAACTAACATAACATACACCTAATGTAACTTATCTACAATATTTATGTATTTAGAAATATGTAAGTATGTTTATCAGTTGTCTAGTACCCATAACACAAGCTCTGCTTAGCTTGGGACTAGATGGCGTTGTGTGATAGTTGTGGAAATTATTATTATTATTATCTAATACAGCTGATAGTTAAATGGTTTTACCATGTGGGGTTTACCACAATATATCTCAACCAGATAACCAATTATTGTCTTTGTACAAAAATCGACTTCATTGCGGATCGAACCAAGGATCTACGAATCAGCCAGTCAGGTACTATAATAATGTCCTCAAGTGAATTTCTGTAACAGTAGCCGGTCTCAATGGAGAAAAGCATGCGGGACAGGAGATTAAAGTGCAAGTACACGAGTGTACTTGTACTTTAATCCTGTCTAAGTCTAAAGGGATGGCAATTCGATACGACCAAAGAGATCAGCTGTAGGCTTTACATGCTTTCCGAAGTATGGAGTGAAACATTGCAAACTACCTGACTCCGGACTGATAGTGAGAATAATGACTTCTTATATTTACGCGAACACTACACATTGAAATAATACTAGTTTTTACGGATTTTATCGCGTCTATTTAACTTTTTAAATACCCGACTTTTCGAGAGCTTTACAGCACCCATGGTCACAGGGGGGGGGACTGAGATGTTCAACGTCCAGATGCCATAGTTAACCACGGTTACCATAGATTAAAATTTAACTTTTGTTCCGATCTACACAGTATGAACTTATGATATCTTGAAGTCTTGCAGTTGTATGCTTGGGTTGGGATTTAATTTTATTTATTATAGGATCCCAAGCAGATGGTAGCACCCTCTATTGAATTTAGGATGTTTTTTGATTTCAATAGCCTCGCGAATCATCCTTGGAAGGAATCGGTGTTCTTTAGCGAGGATCTGCGGTCTATCAAATCTGATGTAGTGACGGGGGCGATCCTGTACGTATTCACAGACTGCAGACTTCCCGGAGCGTCGATTCTACACATCAGCTATATGTTCTTTAACGCGGGTTTTGATTGATTTTTTAGTTTGTCCTATGTAGGAGAGACCACATTCACAATCAAGCTTGTACACTCCTGCATCTTGCAGAGGTACGTTACACTTGACTGATGGTAAAAACTGTATATTCTACAGGCATGTTGTTTTCTTCCAGCCTTCTAGTTACAATTGAGATGCAGTCTTCAACAGGTAAACAATGACTGCACATCAAAACTGACCATAGTTTCATTGTCTGCCAGATAGATGTAGGTCTTTAATCTCGCTGACAAAATGGTAGGAATTCTTTATGTGTGCTCTTATATGTCCCGTGAGCGGCGAGAGTATTTTCTCTAAGTGTTGAGCCAATCTGTAAGTTGGTGAATCGATTTGGCTCACTATAGGACGTAAAGGAGCATTGGGCTTGTGTATTTTTGGTAACCCATATAACTTCGGTGATTTGGCGCACGTAGGTATTATCCATTTTACGTACAGATTTAATTTTTCGGAGTGTTTCTTTATGAGGTCACTAGTTGTTTTTAGTGTGCTATTTGTTGGGTCGTATTTAACCTTTTTTATAAGTACTCTATTTAGAATTATAATCTGACGTATCCATGACTACCGTGGCGTTTCCCTTATCTGCGCGGAGAATCGTAAGTTCTGGTTTATTGCGTAGGTTCTTTAACGCTATAAATTCGTCTTAGGGAAGATTCGGTTTAGGCACTGAACATCGACGTAACAGACGAAATGTCTATATGTATATACGAAATTTTCGCATATTGTTTTAAATAAACAGTCCTCGACACTACAGATAATTTCTTCATACGGTAATTTGCGTGGTGTTATAGCAAAATTGAGGCCTTTGGAGTGACGTTGAATATCTCAGTCCCAGTGCTGTAAAGCTCTCGAAACGTCGGGTATTTAAAAAGTTAAACGCGATAAAATCCGTAAAAACTGGTACAGTAGAAGTCCACTAGTCCGGCATCCAACAGTCCGGAATGCCAGATAGTCCGGCATCGCCCTTTGGTTTTCAGTTTTCACCAAAAGTGTGTCTTTAAAGCAAATGAAAACTCTCGAGAGCTATTCGGTAGTTCTGTTCGGTAGTGCTTCAGAAATTATTGATTTCCATATCATGAGAAATAAATTTTATACTACACGCCAAAACTCAAGAAAACAAAAAGACATTCATGACTTTTAAATCTAAGTGAAATGTGTTTTACAGTACGTGTACATACATTATGTATATGAAATGTAAAATAAACATTGTTGTATGTACATACATACATATTTCGTATTTGTAATTTGAGTATTAACTTAATTGTTCTTATAATTACCGCTCGACAGACCGGAATTTTCGTTAGACCGGCACCGAGCCGGTCCCGAACGTGCCAGATTATCGGACTTCTACTGTATTATTGCAATGCTAGTGAGAATTTCTTGATAGAAGACACCAATAACGGATTGGTCCAATTAGGAATCAAACCTTGAACCACATGTTCAGTAGTCACGCTTACGACCACTAGACTAACGGGGTAGTCAACTTTAATAATTAAACATGAAGTTCTCTACATAGTATAAAAGTAATCTTACCGAGTCTCCACTGCTGATTCCAAAGCCATCTGTCTCGTGTGACTCGCTCGCCCTGCGGATTAAATAAGTATATTTGTTAGTTTCATTTAATGTTAGTACAAAGAATGTTGCCGATACAGGATTGGTGGTGGACCAATGGTGCTGTAAGCGCCTGGAGCGTGGGGCATTAAAAAAGTTAAATTTAAACGCGATATAAGCCGTAAAATTTGTTTCATTTAATGTTCGTAATTTTTAAAATAAATTATTTATGGGCAAAACAAGGCAGAAATAAATATATGGCAAAAAAGGAAGAAATAAATATATAAATAGCTTCGATAAGAACGAAAGATGTTCATACTTTAAACACTAGGAACAAACATAAGCTTGTAAATCCAGTTACTAGACTCCACAAATTAATAATTCATAAAAATGTTCAAAGTTTGTTAAATAACAAGTTTAAATGTTTTATTAAACAAAAATTGTACAAAAAGGGTTTGTTTTGTTTGAGGAATTTCATAACAGGTTTGTTAACTTGTCCATATTGGTTGACAGGTTTTAATGAACTAACATTATTTCAATCGCGTTAATAATTTAAAAATTTGAAAGAGATGCTGAAGATTATCTTAACCATCAGCTTTAGTTCAAATGCATTCACTCACTCTTGCTTCGCTGCAGTTACGTGCCGCTGAAGACCATAATTCTCTCAAGTATAGGTCCAAATTTTTAGTCTAACCAAATTAGTACCTACATTGCATGTAAGTTTCTATATTAACTATAATATCAAGGATTACATTAATAAAAATAACCCCTGGGAATGAGGTCGTCACCACCACGCTGGTTCTATTAAAATTCATTTAAAAATTCTACAAAATTGATATATAAAGTAAAATGTTTTTAAAAAATCCCTCTGGGTTTCTTGCTGGTTCTTTCTAGAACTTTCTGAACAATACACAAGAGACAAATAAGTATTATGTATATATAAGCGTAATACTACTGACTGACGGCTCATCACAATATCTCTAAAACTATACACCCGATTTAAAATGTAGTATAGCCACTCATTTCGCAACGTAGACGCTCATTTAGAACGGATTTTACGATAATCCCATCAAAATATAAATTCTTGACATTTGAAATCTTCGCAATAAAATATTATCGTCCGCCCAGCGAAACGAGAGCGTATCTGATAGTATTGAAATCATTCGTTATCGAGATTGTATTGTCTTAAAAATGTATGTTTTGTAGATAGTTGCAAAATGCCTGTTAAACCTTTATCCGTGCAATAGAATCTTCAACAAAAATATTAAAAGAGTATAAGTATGTAATTGTTTTAATAGCGAATTTACATCTTCGTGACTTACCATGACACAAATTTTTCCAAACGCAATCTTAGACAAAAAAAAAACAAGAATAATTTATTGTACTCTGCAAATCCATTTCATTTTCTTTGCCAACTTCAAAGTTCTCTGCTGAATATGGCCCCTTCTGTTATAAGAAGGATTTGTCTTAATCACTACGCTTGGTGGATTGAAGATCACAGTACCGGACGTGAGCTCCTTGACACTGCTGACAGTCACCAGTCTAGTTACTTTACTTTAACATATTACACGACCATCTATCGGGTGCCATATGATCATTATGACATTTCCCGTAATCGCCTTACGTCACACCATAGAATACTATAATACACAATAGAATGGCTGTCAACCTTATTTTGTACGAGGATCGGTATCGCCAGGAGCATACATAGAAGCAATTACGTCGTATTATCACTACTACAAACCCAATTCGCTGTATTGGCAGACTCGTTTAAATTTTAATACATATTTAAATATGTAAATACAAAAAGTGTGCAAATTTTGGTACATTTTCTATATAATTTGCATGCGAAATTTGTAAAGGATTGTTACGTCAACACACATCTCGTGTTGACATTTATATGTTTGTGTGAATTGACGTGTTAGAGACATTTTAGTGGCTACACGGGCTCCGCCCACTCCCCCGTTCTATTATGTATGTATTATAGTATTCTAGGGGTCACACCCACAGCATGTAAAGAGGTGATGGATTGTGAATGAATGAATGAATTCTTTTCCAACAGGAGAGGCCTACATACAGCAATGACTTTGATAGGCTGAAGGAAATGTAAGAAATTTAATATATTCCAATCCCTTGTACTCTTTTTAAAAAACAGTGCTACAGCATTAAAGATTAATAAGATTATTTAAAAATAACAAAAAGATTATTTAAAAGTTCGATAGTATAGAATGATAATTTTGCTATTTGATTTGTTTACTGTCATATTGACTGCCTCGTTGGTCTAGTGGTTGTAGTATAGTAGTGTAGGATAGTAGTATAGTAGTGCAACTGGCTAATCATGAGATCCTGGGTTCGAAATCTGGGTCGAGCCCAAAAAATCAGTTATTCTCAGTGGCTGTCCTGCACCGGATCTTCGGTGGTGTCGGTTACCATGCCATCGGACCATGAGAGTAATGGAATAGAAAATGCACCTTGCGCATACACTTGGGCACTATAACCCAGTCCTGCGCCGATGGCTAGTCTCCATTGACTCTGGCCGCCGTGACTGAAATTCGGGCTACTAATTTAATAAAATTTTCCACTTCTTGTGAAGCATTCGTAACTACCTTAAATAGGTTTCACATTTAAAAATTAAGTTTAAACATTATTTTTGTGAACATGTATTATTGTTCCTAAATCTGAAACTGAAGAGAAGAGTGTGGTTTGCAAGATGATGTTGTGACCATGATCAATAAAGTAATGCTTTAGTGGTATGGTCACGTAGAATGAATGAACGAGGAAAGAGTGACAAAGCAAATCTATGTTGCATAAGTGAACGGTAGAATCGGGAAGGGACGCTCTAGGCGAAAGTTTATCGACCAAATTGGCGATATATTGAAAATAGGCCAGATTAGGAGTAACCTTAACCGAAGAGCATGCATAGGTATATGGATGTAAAGGAGGCGAAAGAGATGTGTCAGGATCATGCCAAATGGAAGTCCATAGTCTCTGTCTAATGTTGATGTATGTATGTATTATTGTACTTAACTCTGGCTGTCCTTAAATAAATAAACAAGAGACAAACAAACATTACCTGTCATTAATGTTCCTCACGACGATTTTCCCATCAGGTAGAATGCACCTGTTTGAACTGCCCACAGCAATCTGTTTTAAGCATAAAAACAATATTGAAATATGGCAAAAAATTTAAAGAAAGGTTTATCCTACGTGTATCTCATAGCTGGATAAACCTTTACTATTTTTTAATATAATGAAGCTGACAAACAAGAACACAGTTCACTTGATGGTAAGTGGATGCTCTCATAGACATTTCCATTTATCCTCGATTTTTTACGTTGTAGAGCCACGCTGCAGCTATATTAGTGGAATAGTTGTAACACAAATAGGTCGGCTCAACCGGGGCAGGACTTGAGTTTCGTATGGTGAGTGTAGAGAACCATAGACCCTTTTTACTGTAAACAAGGCATTCCATCCTAGTCTTCACGGGTGACAACGCATCTGCATTTAGATTAGTAGTCGAGGATAGATGTAGATGTCTATGTGCCACGGCATCCACTTACCATCAGATGGACTGTGTGCTTGTTTGTCACTAAAAAAAATTTAAAATCAATATACAAATGATTATCAACCATAAGGACTAAGATGTAATGTTTCATTACCAGTAAAATTGGGTATCTGGTATCACTTAGCATACGAAACTATAGGTTATATAGATTACGAATCAAAATGTAGTTGAGTTGCCACCGAGAATGCCTAGAATAGTTTTTAGCAGTAAAAAGGGTCTTCTCATAAGGTGAAAGACTTTAGGTCAAGAAAAAATTCACCATGCTACATATATGGGTATTGAATGACTTCAAAAGTTCTCTGAATACTTTTTAATAGAAGTATGAGAGATAAATGAGCACACAGTCTACCTGATAGTAAGTGGATGCTATGAATTAGTAGATACTTTTATCTATCCTCAATTAAGAATCAAATTGCAGAAAAGACATGTTGAAACATTTAAATGTGGTAGAGCCATGCCGCAGCTATATTATGGTTGTAGCACGAATAGATTGGCTTGACCAGGGTAGGACCACAATCTCACAGAATATCAGCGTAAAATAGCAACTAAATGTTGATGTGCCTGTATGGTGAGTGTAGAGAACCGTAGATCCTTTTTACTGGAAATGAGGCATTCCGTCTTAGTCCTCAGTAGTAATAACGCATCTGCATTTTGATCCTTAACCGTGAATAGGCATGCATGTCTATGAGCCACAACATTCACTTACTATCGGACGGACTGTGTGCTTGCTTATCCCCAACATTCTATAAAAAAACCCCATGGACTAGAATGAGCAACATTAATAGTAACAGAGGAACAGAGGTGTATTTTTTTTAATTGACACATATATTCTCACTATATTTCACCGCTGAGATAATGGCATCATACATCAACCAGCACTCACCACGCCATAGCAGTGGTTTGCTCATGCATTATTTTTAATATTCAGCAATACCCTCGATACATGGGTCACAGCATCCACATGGCATCAGGCATACTATATGCCTGTCACTTATTACTATAAAGGATATGGATTTTCAACTGTGTTGCCATGGCGAAAATCAGCAGCAAATCCATTGTAAATCATAGAAACACATAATCAAAGAAAAAGAAAATTACCGGTTTCTTTCCAGCCCGATTGAGTAGTAGCATTTTCTGTTTACACTGCAGCTTCTCTTCTTGCACCTTCAACTGTTCCATTTTCAGTTGTACTAATTCCAGGTGCAGTTCTGGGTCTATGCAATCCGTTAGACTCTAGAATATAGATAGATGAAACATTTAAAGGCAACTACAAAATTCAACATGATTTTAAGCAAATAATCAGAAAACTGGTAGCCCCCAGGCTAAGCACATGCAATGCAATTCACCAGGGTTCAATACCAGCACTAACGAAATTTTTAATTACGATTTTAAGTACCGATTTGCCAAGTGCGCAGCAGTGAAGAAACACATTAGGAGGAGACTTGCATGTCTGAAGACAAAATATTTCACAACAGACTTTTTGCTCCAAAAATCCCTTTTAGAAATGAGAGGGATTCCGTGACCAGCAGTGGGAGGCTGTTACTTTACATTTTATCAAAAATAATAATAATATAAGTTTTCTCTCTTTTATTTCTCTTTCTCTTAGCTATCAGATCACATAAGGCATAAACAACAACAGATTTAAAAAAAACTCACCAAGTCATTGTCAACCATCAAATCCTCCATTTCTCCTTCCCCGTTGTGAGTGTCTTCTTGTTTCCTAAAAATAAAAATACATTTAAAATATAACCTCTAAATGATTAGCAGACAACAACACATGTTAGATGGACCTGTGATGGATTACAACAGCAGTCATGCTTTAAATAATGCTAGTTTTTACGGATTTCATAGCATATATTAACTTTTTATATACCCGACGTTTCGAGCAATTTACAGCACCCATGGTCACAGGGGGGACTCATGATAAAATCCTAAAAAACTAGTATTATTTAAATGTGAAGTGTTCGCGTAAATATAAGAAGTCATGCTTTGATTACTAAAATATAAGGTTTTTAATGTAATTGTTGCCACTGATGCCGCTTTAACCTTGTCCAGGGTTGAACCAAGTCCACTGCTGAACCTAGGCCAATAGAAGGGCTGTGATGATAACAATGATGATAATGGTGGTGGTGGTGCTAATGATGATCACGATGATGAATGTTGCTATTATATACTTAAGAAAAAACTTTAATGGCTACGCAGACATACTCAAATTCAACAGTAAAATGTAGTTAATTTTTTTACAAATTAAATGAGAAATGGAGTAGGATCTTTTAACTTTATTAATCAGATAGATTTTATTGCTGGATGTTACTGGTTAATGAAATTAAAGCCTTTCCCATCTAAGGGATGACTAACCCTATCTTTATCCTATGGATTAGTAATGCACATTCTGTTTGAGTATTAAATAGAAAAGAAAAATGAAAGAAACAACTATATAAAAATCCCATGAATATAAAAAACAACTATGTGTGTTGTATAAGTCATGTCAAAAATCACTCAATGGGTTACAGTATATCACAACACTGATTTTCTTTAATGACTAACCTCTTGGAGAATACAGTCCTAAGGGCCCAAGACTAATAAAATTAAAAGAAATTATAAAAAAAGAAAGCATTCTCTACTAACAAAACTGTATCCACCCAGCCAGGAATGTGTGGCATCAGACATGTACACAATTGCCTCACATTTGATAATATAATAAAAAAAGAAAAAAAAAAAAATAAACACTGATTTTAAAAATAAGATAAAAAAGATTTTTCATTCCTTTCATACCACCAAAAAGGAAGAATAACCACTACCTCATATCATCCTGTGGGTGCCGTAAGAGGCGACAGAGAAAAGCTTAAACAGGAGATGGGCTGCAGTGTCTTTCTGATAACTCAAAATTATGAAAAGAAACTGCAGTTGCAAACCTACTAAGCTTTTATGTGGTAGAGTAAAGCTGCAGCTATATTATGGTTGTAGCAGGAATGGTTCGGCTTGACCGGGGAAGGACCATGCTCTCATAGAATACCAGCATATAATAGCAGCTAAATACTGCGATGTTTCGTACTGTGAGTGTAGGAGATCTAGAGACCCTTTTTACAGGAAACAAGGCATTCCGTCTTAGTCCTAAGAGTTTACAATGCATCTGCATTTTAATTCTTAATCACGGATAAATGTAGATGTCTATGAGCCACAGCATCCACTTACCATCAGGTGAACTGTGTGCTCATTTGTCACCCTTATTCTATAAAAAAAGATCATTGTAACTATGGTAAATCGAAATATTATTTTATGAGGTGTTCCATAGGGGAAGCCCATATTTATCATTTATATAGACTGTAATTGTATATAATATTTATTTTATTTCATAGAACAACTAACTTGTCTACTTTTTAGACAGAGAAACTTTTAGTGTTGGGAGAAAAAGAGTATTAGAGTCAGACATTTTTGATTCTACTTTTCATCAGTATGGTTGGTTGGATAACTACATCAATTCATTCAATTAAATACCATCTATTGAAAGTCATAAAATCTTTCTGGTATTTCCAAAGCTGGCTATTAATATCAATCAAGTAACAAAATGGTGTGATGGACTCTTTTCTGAATGAAAATGCAAATATCTGTATTAAATGAGTTCAGAGAAAATACGTGTTTAATATGAAATTCTAGAAATAACATAAAATCATACAATGGATTAAAGTTGGTAAGAATTACTTCTCTCATATGAAATAAATTAATTGAGCAAATATGGACGAAGTAATTCTTAACAAATTGAATAAAATTTCTACAAAGTAACGGCCGATATTATTATCATACAATGGATACCATTCATCCATTACAGCCTATGTCCATAAAGTTCACTGCTAGACATAGTCATCCCAAAAATTGCCTCATAGAATGTTCCTATTGCTGGGTATAAATTCACCTTATTTGTAAAAGGGTTAAGAAGCAGTTAGTCCACCCTGCGGCTCTAGTGCTCGTTAGAAATCTTTTTTTTTTAAGAATAAGGTAACAAACAAGCGCACAGTCCATCTGATGGTAAGTGGATGCTGTTGCCCATAGACACCTACACTAATCCCCAATCAAAAATCAAAATGCAGATGCATTGCCACCCCTGAGGACTAAGAAGAAATGCATTGTTTCCACTAAAAAGCTTTCTACACTCACCATATGAAACACAACAGCATTAAACTGCTATTTTACGCTGGTATTCTGTGAGAGTGTGGTCTTTCCCTGGTCGAGGTAAACTTCTCATGTCCTCAAAGTATTTTATTCCTCATTCATGCAGATTTCCTAATGTAGGTAAGTCATACACGTAACGGTTTAAACAAAAGGTTTGCCTGTGCAAAGAATTAGTTTCCCTTGCTTGTGCAGGATCAGAAAAATTTAAATAGGTGCACATGTACATATTTATTTACCTTTGCGGTAGACATTATGTGTATGGTCAGTAATACAATGTTTCTATTACCACCAAGTACCTATGTGGAATTTGTTCATGAAGGTGATATTATAGCAAGCGCTTACATATACCAGATGTAAAATATTCAGACCAGCAATGTGGTGATAAGCAGCTATTGTAATTTGTTAGCAAGCTTATAAGGATGAGGAAGTAATATATGTTAACTTGGGCATGGCTTATATTTCCTTGTGTTGAAGCTTTTTTTAGCATTGGGTGATAAACGAGCACACAGTCCACCTGATGATAAGTAAAGGTTGTGGCCCATAGACATCCACATTTATCTTCAACTAAGGATCAAAATGCAAATGTGTTGTCACCCCTGAGGACTAAGATGGAATGCCTCAATTCCAGTAAAAAGGGTCACAGGTTCTCTACACAACACATATAATACTCCATACGAAATACAGCAGCATTACACTGCTTTTTGTGAGAATGCTTCAATACAGTAGTGTGACTCCACTACGCTACTGTATTGAATAGTGTGTAGACGATCTGGTAGGAAATCAAAAAGTCTTTTGATATCACAGATAACGATTATACTGTCAATGTCTTATACCTCTTGTCATTAAGACTTCTTGGTGAGAAAACCATATTCGTTATAAACCTTTTAAATTAATCAAAATTTATGAAAAAGTATAGATCGGCGATATGCAGCCGACTAATAAAAGATTTCAATATATAAAAATAGACCGCTAAAACTAATTTTACATCGTAATGTTACTTCATATAATCCTATTCCATATTATATCCTTTCATATAATTTTCAACACACTTTTCTTATAAAATAAATGACATCAAAAATTTTACGACTACCGACTTTACAAAACTTTATCGTAACTTCTTCCTGTATATATATAAAATGATGAAGATTACGGCAGCACAAGAATAGAAACATTTGAAGAAACACATTCACTCCAATAAAACTATTACTCTACTATAAAATAAAACTTGAATAAAACTTACGACTCAACAACTTTTTCCTCCATGGAAGCGAAGTACCTATTCAAAAGCATAACTCCTATTTTCACACTTATTGGACGAACTGTTTTCGAGAATTAGTGCTATTAACTTTAGTAATTTTATATTTTGCAAATTTAATCGTTATATTAAATTATTTCTAACACACGTACGTAAGAAAAACAAGGTATCAATTTCAATTCAAATTTCAAACCTCGTGCTCGTGTATCACCTCGTATAATAGTGTTGTGCAATGAAATAGGGATGCGCCATATCGTATTAAAAATAGTAGCGAATAACGAACTAAACGGTTTTTAAATAGTCAATAAAGTAACTAAAATTTAGTTCACTTTCCACGTTATGAAAATTTCGTTATTGTGTAATACATTTTTCATCAAAATTATGCTTGTTTAAGCTTTGCTTTTTAACCATGTTAAGCGGTATAATAAAATTTATGTACCAGTAATATTAAATATTTAAAGTACTAATTCATAACACAATACTCTTTTTATGTTTTTAAGCAAAGAAGAAGGGTAGAAATAAACGAATGAAAAGAAACCTTAATTTTGTTGGGAAATATCATAAAATATAATTTCGTTATAAATATCGCACTCCTTTGGACAAAATGTTTTTAGTCTTCTTCATCTTCACTCAAAGAATAAAAAACCGTCACAGTCCAAACCAATTGGCCTCTGACATGGACACGATGAAAAATTATATAGGTACTTAATAAACAACACATGGCGACGACGATATGTAAGAATTTAACATTCAATTTTTATATTACGCTACAAATGACAAACAATCCACATTACTACTAACACCTTATCGAATTTCTTGGAACTCCCAGAATCATGAGCAACGCTATTGAGTACAAGGTTCATAGATCATTAAAACAATATAGGTGCATACACTTTATGATTTATGAGCAGTCACAGAATAAGGGGTTATAATCATATTTAATACAGGATTAAAATTGTAAAGAAAACTATGAATAAAGCAGAAGTAGCGCAATATTTTGCGAAATATATCAGCGTTTTACTTTGTTTTTTAAAAATAAATCGCCCTTTTGTTTTTAAATATAAATAGCGCTGAACTCAGCTAGTGTTAAATACACTAGCCGAAATACATACATCGTATATAGGTCTCCCCCATAAATTAATTCATAGGAGGTATTCTTTTTTATAGAAGAGGAGGCAAACGAGCATACGTTTACCTTAAAAAAGAATATTTTTATCTCACAAATATCCTATACTTTAATAATGATAAAATACATTTTCGTAATATGCCTTTCACGTCAGGAAAACAAAATCGAC